CCTCAGCCTCCCAGGGTGCTGGGATTACAGGCGTGAGCCACCGCACCCGCTGGGTCCAAGTGTATTCTGCTGTGCAAGGCTGCCACAGGTCTTGCCCTCTTGGCCCTTGATGTGTGGTGGGAGAGACATGAGATCAGTAACACACAGTCATGGCTACACCGTGAAAGCTGTGGGGGAAATCACAGAGCGCTTTTAGAAAGTGCGCCTCGCTTTGGACAGGTGGATCAGGGAGACCCCCCACCCCCGCCCCAAGAAGTATCGTGAAGCTAAGACTGAGGAGTGAGCAGCCTTTGCAGAGAGGGCTGGAGTGGGTTCCAGCCAGGGGGCGAGCACATGCAAAGGCCCGGAAGCAGGACCCAGCTTGGCGGTTCCTGGAAGTGTGGCTGGAGATGGGGTGGGTGAGGGGCGGTGAGAAGGCTGCCAAGAAAGCAGGGCCTGGTCATGTGCAGGAGTTCGGGTTTTGCTCCTGGGACAGTGGGAAGCCAATGACGCTTGAGGCTGGCAGGCGATGTGATTGGATTTATGTTCTCTGCTATGTGGAAGATGGGTTGGCGGCCTGGGCAGAGGGGGAAGAGTTACCTGGAGACCCTTGCGGCCTTACAGGTGGAGAAAGCGGGCTGTGGCCAAGGGAGGTAGTAGCGGGGGATGCAGGTGGAGTGGGTGTGAGGGCGGGTGTGAGAGGGAGGCTAGAGAGGTCCTGGGGGTTCCGGGTCTCTCTGACAACCATGTCCCAAGATGGAGGAGGTGGGGGCAGAGTGACGTCGTCAGGGGAGCCAGGACAGCCCAGAGGTTTACTTTTGACATGTGGGTTTTTGGGTTGGCTGATGCCTTTTGAATGAAGATGCAAATGGATTTCCTTTTATAGATTGCAGTTTTGGTGACAAGTTTAAAACTGTACCTAGCCCTAGAGCCCAAAGATTTTCTCTGTTTTTCTAAGTTCTATTATTATTTGATATTTCATGTGTTCAGGCTATGATCCATTTTGAGTTAATTTTCTAATGAGTTATGAGGTTATGGTTTATTTTTTCCCTGTGGGTGCCCAGTTGCTCCAGTGCCGTCTGTTGAAATGGCTGCCCTTCCTCACTTGGATGGTCTTTGTACAAAATGTAGGCTGGGCGCGGTGGCTCACTCCTGTAATCCCAGCACTTGGGGAGGCTGAGGTGAGCAGATCATGAGGTCAAGAGATCGAGATCATCCTGGCCAGCATGGTGAAACCCCATCTCTACTAAAAATACAAAATTAGTCTGGCATGGTGGCATGCGCCTGTAGTCCCAGCTACTCGGTAGGCTGAGGCAGAAGAATCGCTTGAACCCAGGAGGCAGAAGTTGCAGTGAGCCGAGATCATGCCACTGCACTCCAGCCTGGTGACAGAGTAAGACTCTGTCTCAAAAAAAAAAAAAAAAAAAAAAAAAGCCTTGGGAATGTTTGTTTAGGTCTGTTTCTGGGTTGTCTGTTCTGTTCCCTCGATCTCTGTCCACCGTCTCACCAGTACCCAGGTTTTCATTACGGCAGCTTGATAATTCAGTTTGAAGTCAGGTAGACTGAGTCTCTCGCTTCAGCCTTCTTTTTCTAAGTTGTTTTTAGCAGTTGTCTTCACTGAGCGTTCCGTGTAAGGAACATTTGCCTGCAGTCACCCCTCATTTCCCGTTTACCACCAGGTTAGATGCAGATGGTCCTGGGCTGAGCTGAATTGACGTTTGTGATAAGTTGGGTTTCCTGATGTTATTGCCGTGGTCTTCCTGCGATAGCAGTTGTGCTTAGTTAGTTTTTGTCGTAGTAGACGTATACATTTTAAAGAGATTTCAGGCAAAGTAGTGGATCTCAGACTTGGGCTGCACCGAACCTCCCAGAGGGCTTTGCAAGCAGAGTGCAGGGCCCTTGGCAGAGCCTGATTCAGCAGGTGTGTGGGTGGGGGGCAAGGATTGCACTTCTGAGATGCTCCCAAGCAATGCTGTCACTGCGGTTCCTGATCCAGGGGCCTCATGTTGAAATCACTGATGTAAGGTAAGCCTTCCCAGGACTCTTCCCACGGGGGATCTTGCACTTTTTTTTTTTTTGAGATGAAGTCTCACTCGGTCGCCCAGGCTGGAGTCCAGTGGCACAATCTCAGCTCACCGCAACCTCCGCCTCCCGGTTTCAAGCGATTCTCCTGCCTCAGCCTTCCACGTAGCTGGGATTATGGGCACACGCCACCATGCCTGGCTTGTTTTTGTACTTTTAGTAGAGATGGGGTTTCACCATGTTGTCCAGGCAGTTCTCGAACTCCTGACCTGAAGCGGACCACCTGCCCCCGCCTCTCAAAGTGCTGGGATTACAGGTGTGAGCCCCGCGCCTGGCTGCTATCTCGAACTTCGAGTTCTTTTTTCCTCTGCTTTTTCCTGAAACTACTTCCTGAGTGCCTTATTCTGGGGCGTCTCGCGTGCCTTAGAGGTCTGGAGACCACACTTCCTCTCTATAAAGACTCTCGGAGTGTTAAAGGGATTTTTGCCAAGACAGCAAAGACTTTGAAGATGCTCCATTACTCAGGCCTGATCAGCAGCCCAGGGTGGCCGTGGTCTCTGATACTGAGCCGTGAGGAGTGGTTTTAGAGAGGCCACATTTTGGGGACCAGGTGCTGCTGATCAGGACCCTTACTGCCATGACTCAGACATTCACATACAATCAGAGTGAGCACAGGAGGCCGAAACCCCGCTCTCCTGCTCCCCCCGCCCCTCTTTTCTGGGTTTCCTCTCTCAGCAGCTCCACCCAGAGGGGACCTTCTTTCGGGACACCTGGAGGTGTGGGCAGTCTGTGAGAGGTGCAGGCCAGAGGCAGGGTCTGCCCCTGGGAGAGGCGGCCACGCCAGGCCTCAGGGTATTCACCCAGGCTCCTGGTAAGCAAGGCCGGGATGACTTCCCTCCATTCTCCCACTCCGATTCCAGTCACTTGTTGGGACTCTGTATTCTGCGGTGATCTGACCACAGTGTGGGTCCCTCTTAAAGTCTGCTGTTCCCATTGACCGAGCTCCGGTCTGTGAGTGGCATGGGTTCCTGCAGGGGCACACAGGTCCTAGACCTCCAATAGCACAGCAGCAACTCATGAAAGCGTGCCCTCCCCCCGCCCCTGCCCCAGCGCTGCTTCTGCCCTTTGTTCCTATTCATTTCCTGCTCACGGCCCAGCTGAACCCCATCCCAGACTGGTCCCTATTCAGGCAGAGGTGCTTATCCACAGGAACTGGGGCAGGCAAGGCAGGATGCTGCTGTGAAACTGAGTGAGACTTGCCAGGGCTGCATGTGACGCCTTTGAACGTAAATGTGTGCCCCCAGGAGACTTGCCAGGGCTGCATGAGATGCCTTTGAACGTAAATGTGTGCTCCCAGGAAAAGAAGATACACTGCTGTTTTGGGAGAAAATTTCACCCTGGTTATTTCTGGCATCTTAAGGGCAAATTGGCACTCTCTGTCATCTGCCTCACGTCCTTACAGCTAACTCACTCCTAACTTGAAGTTTTCAACCCCACACTGCTCTCACACATGCATGTTCAGTGACTCAGTTTCCATAGAGGCTTTGCATGGTCTGCCTTTCACCCTTCAAGCTGCTGGGGATGAGCTGGGTGCAGAGCGTGTTGGAATCAGCATTCAGGAAGTGCCAGCGTGCACGCTTCCCTAAACCACCCAGCAGCGGGCATCAGAGAAGCAGGATGCAGGAAGGAAGTGCTGGTGGGCACAGTTGGGGATGGGGGTGGGCCGAGGAGGAATGATTATTTGGTAGTACATACTGTGTGTGTCTCACTTTATGTTCCCCCAAACTGCATGAGGTGGGTGTTTTTATTTCCGCTTTACAGCCCAGGAATGTGAAGCCCCAGAATGAATGGCGTCTAGATCACCCTGTGAATGTGTGTGGGGGGGTGTCACTTTGTGCTCATCTGCCCAACGTGCAAGCGTTTGCTGCATCTGATAACAGCTTACGTGGGAGCACAAGAGTCCTCCACAATGGCACGTGTCGAATTAGTCCCCAGAGAAATGTGTGTGTACGGGCACCAGGCCTATGTTAGGAGCTGAAGAGAAAAGGTTACATTAGACATACCTGCCCTTGAGGAAGTCACGGCTCAGGGGGTAGAGAGGAAAGAAGTGACAGCTGGCTTTTTAAAATGGTGACACAGGCGGGCACGATGGCTTGTGCTATAATCCCAGCACTTTGGAAGACTGAGGTTGGAGGATCGGTTGAGCCCAGAAGTTTGGGACCAGCTGGAGCTGTAGTGACACCCTGTCTTTACAAAAAATTAGTGGGTACTTGGGAGGCTGAGGCAGGAGGGTTGCTTGAGCCCAGCAGGCAGAGGCTGTAGTGAGCTGTGATCACACCACTGCACTCCAGCCTGGGAGGTAGAGCAAGACCCTGTCTCCAAAAAAGCTGATACATTTGTTTTAAAAATGGAAATTGATGGCTAATATGAAAAGGCGAAAGTCTGAGTTTATGAGGCTACTCAAATTCATTGCTTTTATTAAAAATAATATTATTTGAGGTGAGAAGGTGTTTCAGTGACCCCAGCCCTATCCCATAATAAGAGGAGACCTCACTGTGTGCTCTCTGTAGAGTACCACATAAGTGCCCTATACCAGCTGGAGAAGGCCTTGGTATGAGTTATCTTAAGCATTATTTTGGTAAGAGGCTGGGCACAGTGGCTCACACCTATAATACCAGCACCTCGGGAGGCCCAGGCAGGTGAATCACTGGAGGCCAGGAGTTCGAGACCAGCTTGCCCAGTATGGTGAAACCCTGTGTCTATTAAAAGAACAAAAATTGGCTGGGTATAGTGGCAGGCACCTGGAGTCCCAGCTACCTGGGAGGCTGAGGAAGGAGAATTCCTTGAACTTGGGAGGCAGAGGTTGCAGTGAGCCGAGATTGTTCCACTGCACTCCAGCCTGGGTGACAGAGGGAGCTCAATCTCAAAGAAAAAAAAAAAAAACCAAAATTATTTTGGTAAGAGCTTGTCATTAATGAGATTCTCTCGTGTCCTGACAGGTGTCAGCGATGGCTGAAGATGGGAGTGAAGAGATCATGTTCATCTGTAAGTGACCCATGGGCCTGTCCGAGACCGGCCCTATGTCATAGCAGCACACGGGCATGGCGCTTGCTGTCTGGGCAAAGCCACATCCACATTTGGTTTTCATAATATAGAAAAGCTATGGATTTATAATTTCCCTGTGAAACATGATTTATTTCATGAGCGGTGCACTATAGGGGTGTGGTTTTAACAGGATCGCCCTTCTCAGAACTGCTGGCAGAGGGCACATTGCAGGGGGTAGCACATGGTCCAGAAAAGTAATCCAGGGCTAAGGAGGAGGGAAGTTACATTTATCACGAACGCATTAACATGGGCTGTTTTCACTTATGCTCATTCTTTGGGGAGGGTCTTGCTTTGCGTCACCGTGGGGTGACCGTGCTCGATTTGAGGTGTGTGGCGGAGCTGGAGCTTTCCCTGGGCACGTGTCCCACGTTTGCACTCCTCATGTGTGCATGAGCGCCGACGGAGGCCGTGGGGACACAGGCCTCGTGCCATCCGATGCCCCCTCCCTGGCTTGTCTTTGCACTGTTGGCATCTTCAGCTCTAGGTCACCCTCACAGGGCCGGGGTCCCCATTTCCCAGCTTTGTGTTCTTCGGGTGTCTCCCTCCCTGGGTGCTCTGATGTTCAGATGTCTGCTTGCAGGGTGTGAAGACTGCAGCCAGTACCACGACTCCGAATGTCCCGAGCTGGGCCCAGTGGTCATGGTCAAAGACTCCTTTGTGTTAAGCAGGGCAAGGTGAGTGACCGCCGTGAGCTGCTTCCACGGTCCTGGGCCTGTCATTATGCCAGCTGTGACTTCGCAGGCGCATAGAGGCCTTTGTGTCTGCAGACAGGGAGGAAGGAGCACGAGGGAGAACAGAGGCACTCCGAGTGAGGGCCAGCAATTTCCCTCCCACCATGAACGAGCAGCCTCTCTGCTGGGATGCACCAAAACACGTGCTTCAAAGCTCCAGAGTGAGTTTCTCTGATCCACTTCCGGGTTCTTAGGAGCCCAGCTGTTCCTGACTCAATGTGGAGGCTGCAGGAGAGCGGACTGGATCAGGTGGTCGATGTGACAAGCACCAGTGGTCAAGCTGAGGTCTGCTCGTCGGCTTCTCTGTGCATTCCAGGTCTCAGCCTGCCAGCGGACACATGCACACTCAGGCGGGAGGGCATGCGGGGTCATGAGAACAGGCACAGGGCTGACCCACAGCAGCTTCTGGAAGCAGCCCCTGCAGGCCTGTTGGCTCAGTGGGCAGCAGCTGCCCTGTCGTTCCACCCTCACCCGCGGGGGCTGTGCCTAGGGCAGTCCAGGGCAGGTGGGCTTGGACAAGGCGCTCTCCGTTCCTCGGTGGCCTCTGTAAACGGAAGAGAACGCTGGCTCCCGTGCGGTGGCCGTGGCGTCGTAGGTGGCAGTACCTGGTGTGTGTTGCTGCTGCGAAGGTGGTCGTCCTCTCTTCAGGACTGTTACCAGGAGCCTCCCAACTGCCCTCAACACCGTTCGTTTATTTTTTTCTTAGTGTGACTCAAAGAGATTTGTGTTTTGGCCTCAAGTAGAGAGCGCATCCACCCCCTCTTCCCCAGAACCTCAGGGGCTGCCTGTCGCCCATGAATATTCAGCTGAAACTCCTGGTCCTGAAGTCAGGCCCTCTGTGCTGGATTCTCGTCTCAATGGCCTCCTGCCCACCCTGAGGGGCCTGTGCGCTGGGTACCCCATGCCCACCTCAGTCTGAGGGGCCTGTGCGCTGGGCACCCCATGCCCGCCTCAGTCTGAGGGGCCTGTGCACTGGGCACCCCATGCCCGCCTCAGTCTGAGGGGCCTGTGTGCTGGGCACCCCATGCCCGCCTCAGTCTGAGGGGCCTGTGCGCTGGGCACCCCATGCCCTCCTCTGTCCGAGGGGCCTGTGCGCTGGGCACCCCATGCCCTCCTTTGTCCGAGGGGCCTGTGTGCTGGGCACCCCATGCTTGCCTCTCCGAGGGGCCAGTGCACTGGACACCCCATGCCCGCCTCTCTCCGAGGGGCCCGTGTGCTGGGCACCCCATGCTCGCCTCTGTCCTGGACATGTCCTGGGCTCGTTCCAACTTCTGTACCTTCCTCCCCAGACCCCGTCCCTGCCATTCTTCCACTTCAGTTTAAGAGGTTACCTCCTCAGTGAAACTGACCCGCTCCACTTGGCTGGAAACCCTTTTTGGTATTTAGTTGGCGTCTTTCTCGGGGTGCTCTCCACGCAGCTCCTCAGTAGCAAGTTCCCTGTGGTCTGCCCTCCATCACTGGACCCCACACCAGTCTGACCCTGTTCTGTCTCATAGCAGCCCCACCAGGGAGGCACCTGTTGGCACTGTCTTTCCCACGGGGAGTTAAACCCGCCCTTCCGTAACCAGCCCCACCGTGGCGTGCTCTGGGTGACTCTCACCAGGGCCTTGTGGTCGGCCTCGTGTAGCTAAGGCCACAAGATTATGGCTCCATTGCCACAGCCCGAGGGTGTCTTTACAACCTCGGCCTCAGTCCTCATTCGGCACCTATTAGGAAGGCTCCTGTGTTGTGTTTCGGTTTTTTTTCTTTGAGACCGGGTCCTGCACTGTCACTCAGGCTACAGTGCAGTGGTGGCCCAGGCTCAGCTCAACTCGTGGGCTCAAGTGATCCTCCTGCCTCAGCCTCCAGAGTAGCTGGGACTACAGGCGCGCACCACCATGCCCCAGCTAATTTTTTGTACTTTTTGTAGACACAGGCTTTTACCACGTTGCCCAGGCTGGTCTCAAACTCCTGGTCTTATGCGATCCTCCCACTGCCCCTGGCCTGGAAGGCTTCTATTTCATCACCTGGAGAATTCCATTTCAGAAGACCCTGGCGCTCAGTGAGAGCGAGCTCTTAGGTTGTGTTAACACGTAGTCCCCGGTGTGAGCACTCTCTTTATTCCATTTCCAGGTCATCCCTTCCTCCCAACTTGGAGATCAGACGGCTGGAAGACGGAGCTGAGGGGGTGTTCGCCGTCACTCAGCTCGTCAAGCGGACACAGTTTGGTCCCTTTGAGTCCAGGAGGGTCGCCAAATGGGAAAAGGAGTCCGCGTTTCCCCTGAAGGTAAAGGCCGTTGCCAGACGGGAGCTGGGGAGCTGGGTGTTAATGGCCTTGTTGTGTGGGAATGGGGGAAGGAACTACTGAGTTTCCATAGTTTAGAAATGCCTTGAAAACAGCTCTAAATATTGTAGGTCTGCTTAGTTTCCAAGAAAATGTTTGTTTTTATATTACAAGGGCATCAATATTAAGTTAGTATTTTGTCATTTCTTTTTGTTTTTCTCTTTTATTTTTTTGAGATGGACGTTTGCTCTTGTTGCCCAGGCTGGAGTGCAGTGGCGCGATCTCGGCTCACTGCAACTTCTGTCTTTCTGGTTCAAGCCATTCTCCTGCCTCAGCCTCCCAGGTAGCTGGGATTACAGGTGCCACCACGCCCAGCTACTTTTTGTGTTTTTAGTAGAGACGGGGTTTCACCATGTTGCCCAGGCAGGTCTCAAACTCCTGACCTCAGGTGACCCACCTGCCTCAGCCTGCCAGAGTGCTGGGAGCCACTGTGCCTGGCCGTATTTTGTCATTTTCAGTTTTGCAGAACATTAAAGAGTGTGTTTAAAACATATGCAGGAGAAACCCCAAAGCTCCACACCTGAACCTTCCGTTGCTATCACAGGCTTTCTGAGGCTGCATCTTGTGGGACTGCATCACTCTGGTCATTTCCATGCCTGTGCACAGCACTTGATAGTTTGCAAAACTCTTTCAAAGGGAAGGTGTTTGTTGAGGCAGTGGCGAGATGTTGGGCATAATACAAAGTTTGGCAGCTCTAAAAAGCACATCACAATGAGTGAGAGAAGACAATGGTTCTCTACTTTTATGTGCATTTAAGAAAACTAAAATGTATGTAAATTGCAAGGCAGGCTCTGGAATACTTAAAAAATGAGCCCTCCGGAAGGCCTGTGAGGCCAGGCGAGGTGGGTTTTTACTGTTCCCCTGCCTGCCCTCAGTGTCCTACCCCAAGCCAGCCAGTCTTTAGAAATATCTGTGAAATACACAAAGGCGGAACGGGTTGCTAGTCAGCAGACTTTTCTTAGAGACCCTTGAAAGGGATCCGCTTGTTTTAGGACAGGCAGTGGAAGTCAACAAGCTTGGGTTTTTGGAACTCCTTTGAAAGCTGATCTTGGAAGGCAGATTTCAGCAAAAAGGGAAAAAAGGGAAAGACACTTTATTTGTTTACAAAGAGAAAGAAGGGAGGGAGGGAGGAGAAGGAAGGAAGGGAAAGAAGGAAAGTTTTAAGTTGAAGAAATACGTAGCGGTGCCTAAACCAGCCTCTGAAAGGCCATCAGCCACCTGACTGTCCTTTGCAGCACCTGTCTGGCTGATGTACACAGTTGGTGTGGGTGCAAGGTTGGGGCCAGGCCCCTTTAAAGAAGTCTGTTCTGCCCATTTGGTGGTCTTTCACCTACTCGATTCTGAAGGTCACCGCCTGGCACTGGGTTGTTCTCAGTGCACGCTCCAGCGTTCAGCTCCTGTATGCCCAACAGAGCGAGGGTGCTGCCAGCTGGGAGCACGCCTTCCTCAGCAACTGGGGGTCATTAGCGGATGGCTGTCCCCCGCTCCTGACTCTCGCTGCCAAGGGCTCTGTCCTTAGAGAGGCCTCTCCGGGAAAAGCTTGGGAGAGGGGAGAGCTGTCCTCCCACAGTGAGGGAGAGATCATGGCATTCAGAAAATAAGGAACAAAACCCTCCTATACTCGGGTGGTTGATCTGAACCTCAAAATAGTTAAGTTTCTCTCCCTACTGCCTGCCTGCATTTAATCCATAAAGAAATAGTGGCAGATCTGGAAGTGGAACTCAGTGTCCCAGTTCCCAGTGGGCCGTCTGTGGAGCCTACGTGTCCCCGTGACACCTGGACTAGGAGCAGAGCTCAGGTGTCCACTGAAAGCCCACCTGCACTAGGACTAGAACCTTGATGTCCCCATGCCCACTAGAACCTGATTAGAACTTGAGTTCTGCACCTGGGCCGTGAGTCACACTCAGGTGACCCAGTGACACATAGACCCGTTGGCTGTGTCTGCTGCTTCCTTTTGCCTGTGACTAATCTGACCTGTTGAAGCCACATGGTCTACCTGTGACCCTCCCACCTCAGCATCCTGTACGGGAGCCCTTCTGGCCTCTGACGTGTCACTGTATAGATGGGTTCCTCAGCACCCGCCCCCCACACGCTGACACGTAGATGGGTAATCTGCCATGTCCCTGGCTTCTTCGTGGGCCGACTCACCCTCAGGTGTTCCAGAAGGACGGACACCCCGTGTGCTTTGACACCTCCAACGAGGATGACTGCAACTGGATGATGCTGGTGCGGCCGGCGGCGGAGGCTGAGCACCAGAACCTGACGGCCTACCAGCACGGCAGCGACGTGTACTTCACCACCTCCAGGGACATCCCCCCGGGCACCGAGCTGCGCGTGTGGTACGCTGCCTTCTATGCCAAGAAGATGGACAAGCCCATGCTGAAGCAGGCCTGCTCTAGCGCCCACGGTATGTGGTGGCCCCTGGTCCCAGGCCCGCCTTCCCTTGTGCCTTGCCGAGGGGTTATGGCCCCCTGGCTCTGTGCTGACCCCATGCCGATGAGGTGGGTTGTGTGGGGCCAGCTGCTGGGATGCAGAGAGTTGGGGGCAGAGAGTCAGGTCTGTCTTTGCGCTTGTTAAACATCCTCGGTGAGTTTGGGCAGGCAGATGTAACACAAGCTGCACATTCGGACAGAGATACATCTGAGAAATGTGTCCTGGGGCGATGTCTTTGTTATTGGAGCACCGTAGAGCGCACTCTCACGATGGCACGGCCCGCTGCGCACCCAGGCCGTATGGTGTAGCTTGCGGTTCTAGGCTGCCAGCCTGTCCAGCATGCAGTGGGCCCTTAACACATGGTGTTTGTCCATGTAAACACAGACCAGGTGATACAGGAAAAGTACTGCATTGTGATCTGGGACCACTGTCGTTATGGTGTGTGACTGCTAAGCTCTGCCCTCGGGGCTACATCCTGTGACTCATCCTCCTGATCCCATGAGGCAGGGCTACTCACCCTGTCTCTGGACAGAGGAGACAGAGCACAGAGAGGTGAAGGAACTGAGCCCAGGTCACAGTGAAGCAGATGAAGAAATCAGGATTGGTCCCTGGCCTCCGGCTCCAGTGCTGCTGCTCACTGTGCAGTGCCTCCTCCTAGATTTCAGGGGAGTGTGTGTGCGTGCACATGTGTATCTGGTGTGCATGTGCGTATCTGTGTGTGTGCCTACATATGTGTATGTGTGTGCATGTGTGTGTCTGCGTGTGCATGTGTGTCTGTGTGTGCACGTACGTGTGCATATCTGTGTGTATGCATACACGTGCGTATCTGTGTGCACGCATGTGCATCTCTGTGTGTGTGTGCCTGTACATGTGCGTATCTGTGTGTGTGCATGTATCTGTGTGTGTGCGTACATGTGCATCTCTGTGTGTGTGTGTGCCTACATGTGCGTATGTGTGTGTGTGTGTGTGTGTGCGTGTATGCGCATGTTCAAAGAAAGCCCTAGTGGACATATGTGAGTGCTCTGCCAAAATCCAGCATTCCTTTGGAAAAGCAAATCACAGTGCCTGTCGACACCACTTCCCCCGAGTGGGCTTGTTGAACTTTCAATCTTTCTCATCCGTGTTGTGGGTCTTTTTGGCGTAGATCCTCCTCATAAAACCTGAAGAAACCATGTGAACTTCCTGATGTTTGATGTCTTCCAACCTGCAAAACATTAATTTCATATGGCAGAAGCTAACACTACCCAGGAGCACACATTATCTGTGGTTGCCATGAAGATTCTTGCTCAAGGGGGAGAAATAGCTATTGACTCTCCTCACCCCCCACGCAAATGACCTTATTCTCACATGACGCTAGTTTCCTTAAATGCAGTGTAATCCAAAATAGTAGCTCCACGGTGTAAGATTCTTCACAGATTTGCAAGGTTTTTATCTGTCCTGTTTGTTAGTATGATTGAGGCTTTGTAAATGCACCTGGTTGTCGCTAATCCCAGGTGGGCAGATAAAATGGAGTGAGGGAGGAGTCCGAAATGGGCTGTGTGTGAGTGTCCCTGGGCTGCGTGGGAGTGTCTCGTGGGAGTGTCCCCGCGCTGTGTGGGAGTGTCCCTGGGCCACGTGGGAGTGTCCCAGCATTGCATGGGAGTGTCCCGGCGCTGTGCTACCCTCGTAAACCACCACCAACCCCAGTGGCTTTCAGGTCAGAAATGTGCCCTCCCACAGTGGTGGAGTCCAGACATCCAGGATCAAGGTGTCAGCAGGACTGGTTCCTTCTGGACACCTGGAGGGAGACTGTCCCGGGCCTCTCCGCAGCCTCTAGTGGCGGCTGGCACAGCAGGCTTTTGCATCCCTTGGCTTGTGGCTGCATGACTCCAGTCTCTACTTGTCTTCTCCCCCATGTCTCTGTGTCCTCTCTACATAAGGCCACCAGTCATTGGATTTAGGCCTTCCCAATCCAGCATGACCTCACCTTAACTTGATGCCATCTGCAAGGATCCTCTCTTAAGGGCTGTAGGTGGGTGTGAATTTCGGGGAGCCACTGTTGAACCCATTATGGGCCCTGCGAGGGCTGGGTGGAGAGGAGCCACTGGGGATGCTGCCGGGGAGTGTCAGTGGGGAGCCAGGAGGGGCGGCTCTCTGCAGGGCCCACAGGGGTGGCAGTGTCCTCTTCCGCCAGGATGGTAAAGGCAGCTAAGTGTACTCAGGGCTTCGCATCCTTCACAGACATGTTTGCAGAAAAAGACTGTGGCTTTGTGGGGAGTTCTTTAAGAGTGAAAGGGACAAAAAGAACTTGGAGAAACCCACTGCTCTTCACCCAGCTGCTCCTAGCCCCACCCTCTTGGCTTTGCCAAAACCAGGTACCTGGCCTGGCCTGGCCTGGCCTGGCCCGGCATCAGAGAGGTCCCTGTGGCAGCACCTACCGGGTCAGGAGCCATTTCCAAGTCCTGTGAGGCTGGGCTCTCCAAGCAGAGCCCAAGGAACTGTGATCATTGGGACCTGTGTCTGGAATTCCTGAAGGCCTAGGCAGCTGGCAGCGCGTGTGCCCACGGCCAGCCCAGACTGCAGCCACGCTGGGGGTGGGGTTCTGAGATGCTGGCCTTGGCCATTTACCTCCAGTCAGTTTGTATCCTGGGTGGCGCCCTCACCACTCTCAAGGCTGAGGTCAAAGCACATGTCATCCCCTCTTACTGAAACCGCAGGTGTTTTGTGCTCATTTCACCTGCCGGAGACCCTTCAGTCTGGAGCTAAGTTTGAAACAACAGATTTAAATGAAGTCAGCCTGGGACTGTGTTGTTCGGTAGAGTCACCTCCTGATTCCAGGGTTTCTAGGGTAATTCCCATTCCTCCCTAAAACCTCTGAGAGCAAAAGGGGACTTCTAATCATTCTACCAGGATGGTCTGCATGAATGGGAACGTATGATCACCTGAGCACAGCGGAACCCTAAACAAAGTTTTTAATGGGGGAATAAACAACTTAGTTCCTCTTAGATTTCAGAAATGCTTTTTAGGATGGTCACTTGTGTTCGGGGACGGATGGCAGTTATTTCTAGAGAAGTAGTGAACATCGCGATTCCTATCCACCCCCTGCTTGGTTGGGTTCCTCCTTTCCTTCCCTTCCCAAGAGAGCCCCTGTTGAGCTCTGGCTTGGTCCTCGAAGTGGCGCCCGCTGCCCTGGTGGACTTTCCCTGGCTCCACCTGCTGGCTGTTCAAACAGCAACCCAGCAGCCACGTCAGCGCCCCTCCCCCAACACACACTGCCTCTCACCCTCTGCCACCTACCTGGCTCCTTCTTCCCTGGAGCCCCTTCTCCCTGAGCCTCTGGGGGTCCCTCTCCAGGCACAGGAGTGCTTCTAAAGCCCTGCCCACCCAGTGCACCCAGGTCCAAGCAGAGTCTGAGTGGCGGTCGAGCACCTCACCAGGCTGAAGCTATGCACTGGAGCCCCACGCTGCCCGCATCTCAGAAATGAATATCTTGATAGGTGACAAGACCTTCGAAGAGAGGCCAGAAGTGTCCAGAAAGCTGGCCCCTTGCATAGCTCTCACCGTTTAGACCGCGAAGGCCTGGAGTTCCTGGGGTAACTAATTCCACTCCTGTTCAGCAACGCGGCCTCTGGGGTGGGCACGTCCAGAGAGAATGCTGCTTCGTGGTGGGAGGACAGGAGCCTTTTGAGACACTGTCCACCTCTGGCCCAGTGGGTGTATGCAGAGCGATGTGAGTGGCTTCCAGGGCCATGGGTGTGCTCCTAGAACCGTGCCGGCGGCCGATGGACCCAGGAGCCGTCTTCCTGTAAATCGCCCAGTGTGGTGGCCCAGTCTTTCCTGGTGAGCAGCAGAGCTCCTAAGACTTACTGACTTAATTCTGTTTCTTCTTTCATTTGCTCTAAACGTGCATCTTTGTGTACAAATCTGTCAATTTGCAGATCAGTGGAGGTGTCTTCTAAATACAGAGAAAAGTTTGGTTTTGTACTGAAGGAGCAGTAACACATCCCTTTAAAAGTTACTTATTATTTTTTTCTGGTAGTGGGTTTGCTTTTCTAGTTAGCTCTTTTTCTTTTTTTGTTGTTTTTTGTTGTCGCCCAGGCTGTAGCAGTGGCATGATCATGGCTCATTGCAGCCACGCACCTGGCTCAAGTGATCTTCCCACCTCAGCCTCCCTAGTAGCTGGGACTACAGGTGTGTGCCACCACACCCAGCTATTTTATTTTTATTTTTAGTAGAGATGGGTCTTACTAGGTTGCCTAGGCTGGTCTTGAATTCCTGTATGCAAGCAATCCTCCCACCTCCCAAAGTGCTGGAATTCTAGGCATGGAGCACTGTGCCTGGCCTTATCTTTTTCTTGAGCTCACATTACGATTGATTTTCTTTCTTTACACAAACCTGAACCTGCTGACAGATGGAGGGGGCAGCCCAAGAAGCATCCGGGATCTTCATGGGAGACAGTGTGGAGAGCTGGCAGGGGCCAGGAGCAAGCCATGGGGCACTATGCCAGCAAAGTGTGGTTATGCCACACCTGTCTCCACCAGCCTCTGTTCCCTTTTACACTCGCTCTCTGAGAATCCACTGCTTGAAGAATCCCCACAAGACCGTGGACAAACGGTAATTTCTCACCTTCTCAAACACACACGGGTTCCAAAGAGAGAAAATTTTCCAAGTCATCTTTCTATGAAAAGAGTCAAATATTAACACATTTTATAACTCGGGGAAACTGTAGAGGCGCATATAGCATCACTGTTCTGCCATTTGATGAGCATTTTATCATATTTTTAATTTTTAATTTAATATTTTTGAGACAGAGTCTTGCTCTGTGGCTAAGGCTGGAATGTGGTAGCCTGATCTCAGCTCACTGAGACCTCCACCTCCCGGTTCAAGCAATTCTCTTGCTTCAGCCTCCCAAGTAGCTAGGATTACAGGCATGTACCATCACGCCCAGCTAGTTTTTGTATTTTTAGTAGAAATGGGGTTTCACCCTGTTAGCCAGGCTGGTGTTGAACTCCTGACCTCAAGTGATCCACCTGCCTCAGCCTCCCAAAGTCTTGGGATTATAGGCGAGAACCACTGGACTGGCCCCTGTATTATTTTTAAAACCAGCACTGATGACATGCAGTGAGGCTCAGCTCAGACACTTATTTATTTATTTATTTATTTATTTTGAGACAGAGTCTGGGTCTGTCACCTAGGCTGGGGTGCAGTGGTGTGATCTTGGCTCACTGCAACCTCCACCTCTTGAGTTCAAGAAATTCTTGCGCCTCAGCCTCCCAAGAAGCTGGGCTTAACAGGCGTGAGCCACCACTCCTGGCCAGTTTAGAGACTTTTGAGTGTCTGCCGTTGTGTAAGCTCCATCGAAGCTGAGTTACAGAACTTCATCCTAGGAAGTTGTCTCGTGCTGCCCTGCGGTCAGCCCCCCGCTGGAACATCAGGCTGCTTTCTGTGCCGTAGCCTTGCTGTCCCTTGTTTTAAAACTCTGCATAGCAGAGCTCGAGCTGCGCCTCCTGTCTTACTTCTTGCTTTTCTCTGCAAGCACAGTCTGGCTAAACCACATCTTACGCCTTTTCCCTATTACTGTCTCTGGCGTCACTTTAAAGCTGCATCATGTTAGATTTTGCTGAGATACTTCTCTTTTTTTTTTTGAGACGGAGTTTCACTCTTGTTACCCAGGCTGGAGTGCAATGGTGTGATCTCGGCTCACCACAACCTCCGCCTCCTGGGCTCAGGCAATTCTCCTGCCTCAGCCTCCTGAGTAGCTGGGATTACAGGCACGCGCCACCATGCCCAGCTAATTTTTTGTATTTTTAGTAGAGACGGGGTTTCACCATGTTGACCAGGATGGTCTCGATCTCTTGACCTCGTGATCCACCCGCCTCGGCCTCCCAAAGTGCTGGGGTTAGCGGCTTGAGCCACCGCGCCCGGCGGATACTTCTCTCTTGTTGGATATTTAAGTGATTGGCGGTAAGAGTTGCCTTCTGACTGTTGACTAGTATTTTTTCCTAAGAACTCTTTATCTTTTACAATGAATATTTGGAAAACCCTGAGTTCTTCTGTTGATGAGGAGACAGTCACCATGACAAGTTTTTCTAGTCCTTGTACTTAGCAGCAGAACGCCAAGCTGAAGGGAACTGGTCCTCTGGGGGTTTGGGAGCTGTATTGCTGGAGACAGCGGCCCACATGGATTAGTAGAAACTCCCCCATTGAGAGGTGGTGGCCTCCGGTAACCTGGCCCCTCGTCCTCTTTCTCTGAGACTGACATGCAACTGTTTTTCTCTTTGGAACCTGTGTGTGTTTGGGAAGGCGAGTGAGAAGTGGGGGTTTGGCTGTGATTTCCATTTGTCCTCGATCTTTTGGGATTCTTCAAGCAGGAGATTCTCAGCAAGTGTAAAAGGGAACAGAGCTGGTGGGGACGAGGTGTCCCGGAAAAATTCCCTGCTGGCATGGTGGCCTACCACACTCTTTCTGCTTTTTCTTTATTTTTAGTATGACAGAAAATTTCACACTGCATTCATACCTCTGTCTTGTCGTCTTATGCAAACTCAACATGGATCAGAAAATTTCACCCTGCATTTATACCTCTGTCTTGTCTTATGCAAACTCAGCATGGATCAGAAAATTTCACCCTGCATTTATACCTCTGTCTTGTCTTATGCAAACTCAGCATGGATGCAAACAGGTACAGCGATAATCTGTATGTTCACCTTCCGTTCATTACAACCTTAGTACTAGTTTTGGATATGAAAAGATCCGTGTTTTTTCATAGTGCCAAATGCATGTGCAGTTGTGGTTTTGGTTTTTTTTTAAAGACCCAGGAGTTTGTGTCTGTGAGTGGCTCCTGAAGTTGGCAGTGGGTGATGAGCTTCAGTGCAGGCTGTGTGATTGGAGTGGAAGTGATAGGCAGGGGTCCTGGCCTGGGCTGGCCCACAGGGGCTGCCAGACAAGGTGTGGAGACACTGGGCTGGGCCAGATCATGGCACACTTTCTTGACCCCCCCACCTCAATTTGAGGTTGCACAAGAGCATCAGTGATTTTTTTGTTAAAAGGTGCCTGTAGTTCTCTTTACGGCCAGGTGTGCCCCGCATGCCGTGTCCCCTCAGCTTAGCTCTCTCTCCCCAGGTTCCTGTGCAGTGTGGGCTGAGAGACAGAGGTGCTGCCTGGGGTAGTGGCCACCTGCCTCCGGTGCCTGTTTAAGGTCAAATTTAGTAAGATTAAGTCCTTGTTTCCTGGGACACAAGCCACATCTGGTTACCGGCAGCCTTGCTGGATAGCAGCTGGGGCGCACATCCCTCATCCACAGAAAGCTCTGCTGGACAGCGCCGGGCGGGCGCCACTGCCTGGCTGCTTGGGTTCCATTGTCTCTTACTCTATGAGCTGGTGAGAGGCTGAGGAATGACACTTGGCTCTTTAGGATGCACTTACCTCGTGAAGTCCTAGAAGGGACGATTCTGGTCCCCTGGACTGGCTTCTTGGAGGAGTTCACAGTTCTGTGACTGGTGACCCTGCAGCAGGCGTGGCTCTATGCTCGGTTGCCTCATCTGTGAAAAGGGGACAGTCACAGGACTGAATCAGCCACGTGTGTAAGCTCTGAAAACGGTGTCTGTCGTGTGGAGTGATCACGGGCCCGTCAGCTGCTGTCATCCCTGTCATCCCTGACTCCCAGCACACACCTCTTCTCCGACATGAGCTGCTTGGGGGTCACCTTTTTCTCCTCTCATGTCTTTTGAAGCTGCAGGCACCCCAGAAAACAGCGCCCCCATGGAGTCGGAGCCCAGCCAGTGGGCGTGTAAAGTGTGTTCTGCTACCTTCCTGGAGCTGCAGCTCCTCAATGGTAAGGAGGACGTGTGGGGAGTTCTGCCTCTGACTCACACTGTCACCTGTCTGCGCTGTTGGGATGTCCCAAGCTTTGTCCTGTCTGCCCCATTGCCCCACAGTGTAGTCGCCAGAACCAAGGCTCTCTCAGGGTTTGAAGCTTCTGGGCAGCCCCACTCCCGACCCCCGAGCCCGGCAGGCCTCTCTCCTCATTCCTCCTAGCCATGGACGTTGCATTTCTGCTGGGTGTCTTGACTCTGGAGCGCTGGCAGGGGCCAGGAGCCAGCCACGGCATCTCTTGTGCAGTCTTGCCTTTGCTGTCCCTACTTAACACCTGTTTCCACTGCTTCTTTATCCGAAGACATTTTCTTCTTTTTTTGAGACAAGGGTTGGCTCTGTTGTCCAGGCTGGAGTGCAGTGGCATGATCATGGCTCACTGCAGCCTTGACCTCGTAGGCTTAAGCCATCCTCCCACCTCAGCCTCCCGAGTAGCTGGGACCACAGACATGTGCCACTGCGCCCAGTGAATTTTTGGCTATCTTTTTTAGAGACAGCGTTTTCACCATGTTGCCCAGGCTGGCTAAACTCCTGGGCTCAAGTGACCTGTCTGCCTCAGCGCGCCAAACTACTTTGTTTACAGGCGTGAGCCACCGCGCCCTGCCTCAGAACATTTTTACCTGCTCAGGTTGACATAGGAATTTAAGGTGGCCGAGAAAGCATTGCACGTCTTTCCAGCTTCTGCAGTGCTCCGGGAAGTTTCCCTTTCTTTCTCTTAGGGAGCTGATTTTTCCAATGTGTAGTGAAGAAAGACACGAGTCACATAAACTGTGGGGGAATCGCACGGAAACAGTTTGTGGGCATTTGTCACATGTGGACCATGCTCAGAGGCCTCAGGCCTGGTGGGTTCCAGGCAGTGCAGCTGTGAGGAGTGACTGGGACAGCCACCGTGCCGCCACTGGCAGACTTGAGCTACCTGGTCGCATGTTCCTGAGACATCCTGCTCCTCTTGGCTTCAATGAAGTGGTGAACGTGTCCTTTTGCCCTCTGCTTGGTGAGAAGCATTTTGGGTTTGTCACCAAGACACAGACAGCAGAGTGGCGGCAGTGTTTTCTAGGAGTGCCCTGTTTGTGCAGAGCACACCCGGGACCCAATGGAGACCAGTGGCAGGCACTTCAAAGTGGGAGGGGCGCTGCCTGTGATGGGTGGTCCCCTCCACAGAGCCAGACAGTCATTGGTGCTCATTTGTTTTTCTTCCTGATAACTGGTTTTGAGTGAGGAAAAAAGAAATTCCTTCGTATTTGCAGTCAAATTCTACTTGTATGTCATCAACCACATAAGACAGGGAACTCAGCCTCCCCTTTCAGTTAGGCTGATGGTGACTGGGACCCCTCAGTGCCAGGCCCTCTGGATACTTCCTGTATCAACACCTGGGGTACAACTGTGACCCATTTCAGGGATGAGTAAACAGAGGCAGGAGCCCTGACAGCGCCTGCCCATAGCACGGCTGCCTCAAGGGCTAGAGCCGGGTACTCAGGCGGCCCAGCCTCTGCCCCCTGGATTACCTGAGGGGTCCCGAGCATTCCTTCCCTGTGTCAACTGTGCCTTCTGCTGCAGCCCCTCACTGGGGATCTTGGGAAAATCCATGGCTCAGGAGCCAAGGACTGGGGAGCAGAGCCCCCAGGAGGGAGAAGACTGAGGAGCAGCCCCAAAGGCCAGCCTGTGATGGGGGCAGGGCTGTACGTGTCCCTGTGAGGGGGAAGGGCTGTGTGTGTCCCTGTGAGGGGGAAGGGCTGTATGTGTCCTTGTGAGGGGGGAGAGGCTATGTGTGTCCCTGTGAGGGTGGAGGAGCTGTATGTCCCTATGAGGGGGTGGGGCTGTATGTGTCCCTGTGAGGGGGGAGGGGCTGTGTGTCCCTGTGAGGGGGTGGGGCTGTATGTGACCCTGTGAGGGGGGAGGGACTATGTGTGTCCCTATGAGGGGGTGGGGCTGTATGTGTCCCTGTGAAGGGGGAGGGGCTGTGTGTGTCCCTGTGAGGGCGAAGGGGCTCTGTGTCCCTGTGAGGGGGTGGGGCTGTATGTGTCCCTGTAAGGGGGGAGGGACTGTGTGTGTGTCCCTGTGAAGGGGGAGGGGCTGTATGTGTCCCTGTGAGGGGGGAGGGACTGTTATGTGTCCCTGTGAGGGGGGAGGGGCTGTGTGTGTCTCTGTGAGGGGGGAGGGGCTGTGTGTGTCCCTGTGAGGGGGGCGGGGCTGTGTGTGTCCCTGAGGGGGACGGGGCTGTGTGTGTGTGTCCCTGTGAGGGGGGCGGGGCTGTGTGTGTCCCTGTGAGGGGGGCGGGGCTGTGTGTGTGTCCCTGTGAGGGGGGCGGGGCTGTGTGTGTCCCTGTGAGGGGGGCGGGGCTGTGTGTGTGTCCCTGTGAGGGGGGCGGGGCTGTGTGTGTCCCTGTGAGGGGGGCGGGGCTGTGTGTGTCCCTGTGAGGGGGATGGGGCTGTGTGTGTGTGTCCCTGTGAGGGGGGCGGGGCTGTGTGTGTCCCTGTGAGGGGGAAGGGCTGTGTTTCCCCTGTGAGGGGGAAGGGCTGTGTTTCCCCTGTGAGGAAGGAGGTGCTGTGTGACCTCCCTGAGATAGGAGGGGCTGTGTTTCTCATTTTTGGGCTGAGGGGCCTTGGGTGCTCCTCCTGAGGGCAGAGGTGCCACATGCCTCTGTGGGTATCTTCAGGGGACTGGCACTGAGTGCTGTCCCAGAGCCCGATGACTGTAGGGTTTGCAGCAGCCCTCAGAGAAGGGACTTCACTTGGCTGTTTCAGTGCTGCTGTTCGGATGAGGCGAGCGTGTCTGTGTTTGTCTCGTGCCCTCCCGGATCTCATGGGATGTGAAGCCGCCTTTTGTGAGCGGTGTGGGAATGTCGGGAGGGCTGCTGAAGAGGTTCTTAGTTTAGAAGCGAATCTGATTGATTTTTCTTTCAAGTTGGCTAACTTCCGAACCAAACCACCAGTGCTCCGAACTTGAACTTAAACTTACTTTCTTTTTGTTTTTTTATGATACAAGGTCTTGCCCTGTCACCCAGACAGGAGTGTGACGGTGCGATCTTAGCTCACTGCAGCCTCAAACTCGTGGGCTCAAGTGATCCTCTCATTTTCACTTCGCAGGTAACTGGGACTACAGGTGCATGCCAACAGGTCTAATTTTTTAATTAAAAATTTTTATTTTTATTTTTGTACAGATAGTTCTTTCTGTGTTGTTTGGGATCCACAGCAAGGCTGTCTCAGACAGGCCTACATGGCACGGACATTGCCACCCATACTGACGGTGGCCTCAAGCCCAAACATGCGCTGTTTCTGAAAGCGCAGTGCCTCCACTGAAGGGGTAGAACCTGTGTTCTCAGGCCCCATGCAGCCCCACACTGCTCACAGAGCTACGGCACAGACCTGCACTCAGGCAGGAGAGTTGGGGAAAGGAGTGTTTTGGGAAGGTGGGGCTCAGAAGTTAGCAAAACATCACAAGGTTGTTTCCCAGTACCGGATGGCCAGAAAAGATGGCAGACGCCCACTGCCCGTAGGAGACAAGAGAGGATCCTTTGCGGGAAGGGAGCAAAGGGAATGCCCAGGTTGCTGGTGAAGGATATTTTAGCACAAGAGATGCTCCCTAGTTCAGGGATGGATGACTGGTCCAGATTGCAGCAGCAGCACGGGCTTTAGGAAGAATGGCTCGAAAAGGAAAAGAAAAGAAATAGAGCATTACCGGATGTGTTTTTAGAGGAAAGAGTCATACTTCTGACAATTAGTAATATAAACCAAAAAAATCAGCAAATGTTATTAACAACAGGTGAGGCAATAATTAACTCCAGGGAAAACAAAGGTTATATATATACTTTAAAAAAATGAATCACGCTAGGCATGGTGGCTCATGCTTGTAATCCCAGCTCTTTGGGAGGCTGAGGCGGGTGGATCACCTGAGATCAGGAGTCTGAGACCAGCCTGGCCAACATGGCAAAACCCCGTCTCTACTAAAAATACAAAATTTAGCTGGGCGTGGTGGTGCGCGCACCTGTAGTCCCAGCTACTTGGGAGGCTGAGGCCGGAGAATCACTTGAACCTGGGAGGCAAGGGTTGTAGTGAGCAGAGATCACACCATTGCATTTAATCCTGGGCGGCAGAGTGAGACTTCATCTCAAAAAAAAACAAAAGCAAAAACAAATCAGTAAACATATATTGGTGCAGTTGTGAATACATTTTTCTGGTCGTAATTATGTAAATACTGATTATCGGTGGGACTGTGGAGACATAAGTGTTTGGGAAGAGAGTGCAGTGGATAAGAAAGCTAAATCCTTGTTCTCTATTAAATAAGCAATGCTGTCTCATACTGAAGAATGGAAAGGCAGGTGAGGTGGGGGTGGTGACACAGAGCCGCGGTGTTCCGTTTTGCACCCAGGACTGGTTATTTGTGCATTCTCTATTTTGTCTTGCCGGACTTACCATTAGTCTACAAAGCACCCACTTTTGGCTTTGTTGATCCTTTTAAATGTATTTTTACTTTATTTCTGTTCTTATTTATTGATTCCTTTTTAAGCGTTTCATTCCATGCTTCTCTAACAAGTTGGATGCTCAGCTCATTAATTTCCAGCCATTTTATTTTCTCATGTAAGCATTTATGATGATTTTTTCCTAAGAACCATGTTCGCTGCATTCCACATTTTGATTATACAGTGCATCTAAATGTATATGCACTTAATAACATAGTCTAATAATAAGCAAAAATTGGCAGATCTACAAGGAGAAATAGAAAGATCTGTCTCTCTACCAGGAGTTTTTAATACATACATCTTAACTTATAAATCAGATAAAAAATCACAAGGATATAGATTTGAAGCACACAGTTAACACACTTGATTTAATGGGTATATTTAAAATGCTGTATCTCACAAGTAGAGTATATATACATCTCTTTGATGTGTGGACTCTCTTCCTCTCATATTTTAATTCTAAATATTTTCTAATTTGTTTTATTTTTCCTGTTTGAATTTATAGTTGTCTGGAATGATGTTTACTAATTTCCTTATGTTTGGCTTTTTCTTTTTTTTAACTTTAGTTCTCTTTGTTTTACATTTTTGATCCTCGATCTAAAATTACTCTTACTGCCTTTCAGAATTTCCTCTGGGGCAGGCCTGCTAGTGTCAGTCTTTTCAGTCTTTGTCTCAAAATATGTTTCTTTAATCATCTGTATTGGACACTGTTTTATTCTTATTTTCTTTCTGCACATGAAGAATGTTGTTATGCTACTTGATGCCTTCCATTATTACTCCCGAGAAGTCTTGCTCTCATCACAGTTGCTCCTTCTTAGGTAATCTCTGCCTTGGCTTTGCTTGCTTTTGAAACCTCCTCTGTCTTTGGAGTTCTGTCATTTATAACAGAGTCATCATTTAAGTCTTTATTTGTTTTCCCAGTTAGGGATCTTGAATCTGCAGATTCATGTCTTTCATTCATTCTGGATAATCCCCCACCCTTATCTTGCCCATTGTTTAGTCTTCCTTCCTATTCTCTCTTTGTCCTATTGTACATGTTTTACACCTTCTTGTTATATTATACTTCATGTCTTTTTAGCTTCTGCTCATATTTTCTCTCGTCTCCTTTCTGCATTCTGGGTAATTTTTGCAGCTCTTTGTTTTAGTTTAGTTCTCTCTTCAGTTGTGTCTCATTTTGTGTTTAATCCATATATTGTGTTTTTATTTTGGGTTTCTGTTTTTTATGTAATTTTATTTGGTTATTTTTCATAACTGCTTGTTATTTTTCAGCATGCCCTTGCCTTTTTAAAGTGTTTTTTTAAAACACTTCTTTGCTCATTTAAATGTATTTTCCCCCAGTTTTCTCCTCTCAGCTTGTGTTATTATCTAGGAATTCCATTATTTCTGATGTGTGTATGTTTGTGTATGTGTGTGTGTGTGTGTGTGTGTGTGTCTGTTTCTGCTGACACCCTGATGGTTTATTGCTTAATTTTTTAGTTTTCTTGTTTTTTTGTTTTTTTTTTTTTTGTTGTTGTTGTTCATTTGGTAAGCTCTTTAGCAAGGAATCTTCCTCTATCCTGTGCTCCCACAGTGGACCTTCCATGTACCCGGGATTGTGGAAGTAGTGTTACAGAGTGCTTTGATTTGCCTCTGCTAGGTCTCCCAGGGCTTCCACAGGTCTCAGCCACAATTCTTTTTTTTTTTTGAGACAGAGACTCACTCTGTCACCAGGTGGGAGTGCAGCGGCGCTATCCTGGCTCACTGCAACCTCTGCCTCCCAGGTTCAAGCAATTCTTCTGCCTCAGCCTCCCCAATGGCTGGGACTATACAGGCACACACCACCACACCTGGCTAACTTTTTGTATTTTTATTGGAGACAGGGTTTCACCATGTTTGTCAGGCTGGTCTTGAATTCCTGACCTCACATAATCCACCTGCCTTGGCCTCCCAAAGTGCTGGGATTACAGGCATGAGCCACTGCACCTGGCCACATTCCTATTCTGATGCTTCCTTCTCAGGTTTTTTTCTTTGCAGACATATGTGTGTGCTTTCTTCACCAAACTGCCCTAATGGTGAACCTATCCTTACGTTTACCACTTAATTTACTTTTATAAATAATAGTTGATGCAGTGGGAATAAAGTGGAAAACAGTAGAAATACAGTTCAGTTGCCTATACAAAGGTCGGCAAACAAGATTGAAAACAAACACGTGGGAAGCAGAGGCCAGGGCGGGTGTGGGCAGTGGCAGGCCCCCTAACTGCGTGGCGCCTTTGCATCTGTCTTTGCAGAGCATCTCTTGGGTCACTTGGAACAAGCCAAAAGCCTTCCTCCAGGCAGCCAGAGTGAGGCAGTGGCTCCCGAGAAGGAGCAGGATGCACCCCGGGGGGAGATCCCTGCAGTGCCCGAGAGCCAGAACATTGCCACCAAAGAACAGAAGAAAAAGCCTCGAAGGGGGAGAAAACCCAAAGCGTCCAAAACCGAGCAGCCTCTAGTCACCGTGGAAGACAAGGAGCCTGCAGGTGATGAGCAGGTCCCGGGGATGAGTGCCTGCGTGGGGTGCAGCCCTCTTGGAGCCCGAAGGCTGGCGGGGCAGGGGGCAGGTGGGAAAACTCAGTGTAGAAAGGTCTCGTGGAATGTAGACACTAAGCCCGTCTGTTTTTCTCTCAATCAACTAGTAGTTTCCATGTTGTACATTTCACACTAAAAAGGATACAGATTGTGAATTTTGACAGATGGATACAGCTGTAAGACCAGCACCCCAGTCAGTCGAGAGGACATTTCTGTCTCCTCTGCCACTTTCCTTACTGTCTTCTCTGTGAGTTCATTCCACCCGTCCTGGAATTGCCCATGAATGGACTCTGTCTGCCTCTTTCAGGCAGCGTACAGGCTCGACACCCGCCCATGTGGTTTATCTGTGGCTCCTTCTCTTTGATGGCTGAACAGCGCTTAGTCCATCACCTGTGAGTGGGCACGGGTTGCTCCCAGGCCCTGCCTAGGGCTCATCCCTGGATTGTGCAGTATCCTCAGTTGGGTCTGGAGAGATGTTTGACCCTCTTCCCAGGGTGTGCGGTGCCTGCAAGGCTCTTGTCCCTGTGCTCCTCATACAGTCCCCATCGTGGCCACCTGCAGCACATGCCTGGTGGGTCTCACTGTGAGGACGAGATGTGCTGCTCAGCCTCCAACCCCTCCTCCACCTGTGTGACTCACACGGGCAGTTTTTCTTTCTACTGTGTGGGATACAGCAGGACTTCTTTGTGAGAATGGAAAGGAGTCTTTATTGTTTCTATGAGTTAGAAAGAATTGGGAAGAACAGCCTTCATGGAATATTCTGGGCCTCCCCTTTTCTACTCTGGTCTGCAACTCCTAGGCCGTGCACCACTGGGCGCTGATTTAGGAGCACCTGAAAGCCCCCCGGGCACTTTCCCTGTGTCCCTATAAACAGGCAGAGAAGGGGGGCAGGGGAAAGTGTGTCCAGGGGATAGTTCACTAATTCTTGTGTGAAGACATTTACTAGGTGAAGTGGTGGAAAGCAGTCGTGGAAACTTTTTGTGTAATCTTCCTGTTTCATATGTCTCGGCTTTCCAGCCAGGGTCTCTAGCATTGGTGATGATTTGATATTTGGCTCTCGTACAAAGTGGTTAGCTAAAATGGTTATATTAATGTTGGCATATTTAATTAGAAAACTTAACATTTCTAAACCTCTGTCAGAATCGATGCAGTAAGTTTGAAGTTTCTGCTGTGTATCCAGAATGTTTTCAGTTGGTATGAAGAGAGATTGAAATAATGTTTTAATGTTGTGGTTTATAAAAGGAATAACAAATTATAACTTCAGTTTGGGCTAAGAAAAACATTTTGCTTTTCCGTGTGTGCTGGTGAATGTGTGGATCCCACAGTGTTGCCAGTTTTGTTTTGTTTTTGCGTATGGAAACGTCAACATTTGTGCCTACCACTGTAGCCTGGCTGCAGTCTTCATGGGGCAGCGTGTCCCTGCGTCTGTCCCCTACTCTGGTGGTGACTTGGCTTGTCACATCCCCTTTGTACAGAGCAAGTGGCAGAGATCATTACCGAGGTCCCTCCGGATGAGCCTGTGAGTGCAGCGCCGGACCAGCGGATCGTGGAGCTGGTTCTGGGGAAGCTGGCCACTGCCACCACCGCCACCACCACCACTGACGCCAGCTCAGTGCCAAAGTAAGTCCTGCCTGGCACCTGGGGCCACCCTGTGGACAGACAGCGCTGGCAGCAGCCAGGCCATTCTGGAGGGAAGGCACCTTCCAGCAGGAAAACCCCAGGAGGGAAGTGGAAGCGGACCCGCTCAGGAGGCAGCAGGAATGCTCTGGAGCTCAGGAGTTTAATGGTGCATCTGCTGTGAAAACAGCTTTTGAATTTTTCTTTTCCAGACGGAGTCTTGCTCTGTTGGCCAGTCTGGAGTACAGTGGCACGATCTTGGCTCACTGCAAACTGTTTCCCGGGCTCAAGCAATTCCCCTACCTCAGCCTTCTGAGTATCTGGGATTACAGGCATCCACCACCATACCCAGCTAATTTTCCTATTGTTAGTAGAGATGGGGTTTCACCAACTTCGCCAGGCTTGTCTTGAACTCCTAACCTCAGATGATCCGCCCGCCTTGGCCTCCCAAAGTGCTGAGATGACAGGCGTGAGCCATCACGCCCAGCCAGAAGTATTGTATTAATTGCGGTAAAACATGCGTGGCATAAATGTAACCATTTAACTATGTTTAAGTGCATAATTCACTGGCACTCAGGATATTGACACTGTTGGGCAGCTGTCTCCACCGTCCGTCTGTGGAACGTTCACGCCTTCCCAAGCTGAAACACTGTCCCCATTCAGCATTCGCCTCAGCCGCTTCCCCCAGCCCCTGGCACCCACCATTCTACTTTCTGTATCTATGAATTTGACAACTCTAGAGATGTCACATAAGTGGAATCAGACAGGCTTTGTCCTTACCTGACTGGCTCATTCCACTCTGGTTCCTCCACATGTAGCCTGTGTCAGAACTTCCTTCCTTTTTAGTGCTGAGTAATATTCCATCGTGCATATGCCCTGTATTTTGTGTATCCATGCATCCATTGATGGACAGATGGGTTGCTTCTAGCTAATAAGAGTACCTCTTACAGCTGGCAAAAGTAATGTCAGAGTGAACAAATGATGTTACCTATTTATTTGTTTATACTTTATCTTATGACCAAAAGAGTTCAGGTAGCTTACCATCAAAAATATGTTTAACAGGGAAAAGAAGTTTTAAAAATCAGGTTCAGATAATATGTAAAACAGAGGAGAGTTAAGACGAGAGACAAGAGCAGAAAACAAATGGGGTTATTCCAGTCGAGGCACAAATTGACCTTCAGGCTCTCTGGTGGCCGGAGTTAGAACACAGTCAGGTGTGTGGCTGTTACAGCTAAAGCTGCCTGATGTCAGTATATATTCAAGGTGTCCTTTTTGAATGTCCTGGAAGCCGGGAGTGACGCCTGGGCACGTTCCTTCCTTCCTCGCGCACAGACTCTGGATGAGCTGGGAAGTTTTGGAAGGACGCCGTTTCCATGCTGCTTGTCACCTGGAGCTTTTTTCCCACCTGTCTTCTAACTTATTGACGTTCCCGGGCAGGTTCACCCATCATCAGAATAACACCATCACGCTCAAGAGGAGCTTAATTCTCTCGAGCAGACATGGCATCCGGCGCAAGCTCATCAAGCAGCTCGGGGAGCACAAGCGGGTTTACCAGTGCAACATCTGTAGCAAGATATTCCAGAACAGCAGCAACCTGAGCAGGCACGTGCGCTCGCATGGTGAGTCTGCGCAGCCCGGGCCGGGGCCGGGGGTGGGAGGGCGGTGCACGTGCGCTCGCATGGTGAGTCTGCGCAGCCCGGCCGGGCCGGGGGTGGGAAGGCGGTGCACGTGCGCTCGCATGGTGAGTCTGCGCAGCCCGGGGCCGGGGTGGGAGGGCGGTGTGGAATCTCCCAGCCCTGGGCCGTCTCCCATGAGCTGTGCCTCCAGGCGGAGGCTGCGGCCGGTTGGTGGGCAGTCATCTCCGCAGCCCCATCGCATGGAGGCAGCGACATAGCGTGTGGAGAGTTTCCGAGGTGGGCATGCGTCTCTCAGTAAATGCTCTAAGTGGCAAATGAGCTTTCTGTTGGCTGGTTCCTCAGGTGACAAGCTGTTTAAGTGCGAGGAGTGTGCAAAATTATTCAGCCGCAAAGAGAGCCTAAAGCAGCACGTTTCTTACAAGCACAGCAGGAACGAGGTGGGTGGAAACAACCCCAGGTTCTCTTTCCAGTTGTGTGGGCGACACAGACAACCGACCAGATCTCCACACTGCAACGAGAAGAAAGAGTCCCCGGAGGGAGGAGAGCGGGCAAGGGCTGTGGGTGTCCAGGAGTCCCTGGGCCTGGTCAGATGCCCACAAGTGCAGCGGGAAGAGTCAGGAGAATGGGCGTGTCAGGCGTGGAGTGGGGCTCACTGAGTGTGGGATTCCTTTTCTAGGGCAGGTGAGCAGCAGGAGCAAGCATCCCCTGTTCCTAAGTAGAGCGGGAGGGTGGTGGAGGGCAGAGTCGTAACACACGCGTGCGTGGAGTCGCCCGGGCAGTGCGTCGGGCACTCGGCCTCCATGGACTCTGTGCTGGGCGGCGTCTCACGGCGTGTCCCTCCCACCAGGTGGACGGCGAGTACAGGTACCGCTGCGGCACGTGTGAGAAGACCTTCCGCATCGAGAGCGCGCTGGAGTTCCACAACTGCAGGACAGGTGAGGGCATCGCTGGGTCCCCCTCCGCCGCTGTGCAAAGCAGAGCCTCAGCCGCGGAGGCGTGGAGCTTTAGGCGGAAGCAAAGAGTGTCTTCATGCATAGACAGCCTCACTGTTAGCATTTCCCTGCATTCGTTTTGCTTCAAAGCGGTTGTTATTCTAAAGATACACAGACGGAAACTTTCCAATCAAAAGGGATTGATTTTCTTCATGCATTTGTCTGCCGAGCTGCGTCTGGCCCCACGTTGGAGAGCATTGTGTAGCCCGGCCATCTGGCTAAGAACGGGGAGCAGCAGTGTCCGATTTGTCCCAGGGCCGAATGAGGCATAGAGGAAAGGGTCAGAGTGTCCTAGCCGCGAGCCCTCCACCCGTGTCTCCTGTGGGCATCCAGGGTGGAACAGGGCTGCCCCGCACACATCATTTTCCTTCTGAGCCTGCTTGTGTGCACCAGTCTCCAAAACTAAAGCGCGTTTTCCTTGTGTGAGGCCTGAAGCCGGGTGTGCTGGGACCAGCCTGTAGTGGAGAGGTGGCCTCTGGGCCTAGGGGCGCATCTGAGGCCCCTGAGTTTGCTGCTGGTGAGTGAACAGATGATAGAAATGCAGACACACCACGAGGAGGCTGTGCTTCTCCACATGGCCCCAGGATGCCCTCGCTCTGCAGTGATGAGGCGCACCCCCTGGGATGGGGGAGTCATGCCTTCCCCATTCCCAGTGGTGGGTGGCACTGGAGGCCCAAGCAGTGGGGGTCCCCCGAGAGGCACAGAGGGATGAGTCACTGTTGCCTTTGTGTCCCCCTCTCTCTAGGACTCATAGCACACCCTGGAGAGGGGGGGCCTGGCGGCAGTCGGCTTAGAGACCTACCAGGTTAGCCTTCCACGCCCACCCGTCCTTGTCCGCCTGCTCTGTGTCTGTCACTTGCATCTGTGTTGTTCTTGTTAAGGTGCTGCCTGCTCCGTGTGGAGAACAAGGCACCTGCAGCTGTGGACTCCCAGTGGCTGCGGCCAGGGCTGCTGCATGCGGGACGTGTGAGAGGCACTGCCACCCCTCCGCGGCTGCTAGGGTGGGGGCCCTGGGTGGGGCTGGCGAGTGCTGTTCTGAACTCTTCTCTGAAACTAGGGCGTGGCTCTTCCTCCCTGGCGCCTTCTTTGTTGTGGCGGACTGCTCAGGGGCGGCTGTGACTCATGTCTTGCCCAAGCTGTAGCGGCGCTCAAGGATCGGTGTCTGGCATGTGGTGGCCTCCAGAAACTTCTGGACGAATTTCCAGTGTGCCGCGCCTCCTGCATTTTAACCTCTCCCGTCACAGAAATTCCCAAGAAACTTGGGACACGGCCCCCTGACAGCTTCCGCTGAAGGCAGCCCTGGCCAGGCAGGTGAACGTCTGTCTTGTTTGCGAACCTCCCCTTGGGGTCCCCGCGGCTCTGCGGGAGTATAGCGGGCGAGGATGTCGGGGTTCCCAAGAGTGATGCCAGCATCTAAGGCACTTGGTGAGACAGACTCAAGGTCGTGGAAGAGGCATTGCCTCGTTATTATTTATTTATTTTGAGACGGAGTTTCGCTCTTGTTACCCAGGCCAGAGTACAATGGCGTAATCTCGGCTCACCGCAACCTCCGCCTCCTGGGTTCAGGCAATTCTCCTGCCTCGGCCTCCCGAGTAGCTGGGATTACAGGCACGCACCACCATGCCCAGCTAATTTTGTATTTTTAGTAGAGATGGGGTTACCCCATGTTGGTCGGGCGGTTCTCGAACTCTCGACCTCAGGTGATCCTCCTGCTTCGGCCTCCCAAATTACCGGGATTACAGATGTGAACCACCATGCCTAGCCTCTTCTCTTGTTATTTTTAACTATTTCTCTGGACCCAAATAAAACAGAAAGTACTAGAAGCGGCTATGGTGGCAGCTGCTTCCTGTTAGCCAGAGGTGCTGTTTCGTGAGGTGCTGGCCTTTGTGAACCCGCAGAGCGGCAGGGACCGGCATCGCACCACCTCTCCTGAGATGCTCTAGTTTCAAAGGTTACCCGTTTTAGACTGAAAAGAAAGAATAAAAACCTTGAAATGGAGCTCATTTGCATAGAATATGATCATGCTCTTGTATTTATTTAATAGTATTGAAGTTGAGAGAATGTGTATCTTCCTTAGACCATTAAACCAAGAATTTGTGCAATGTGGGGAAGTTTGAAAATGTTCGTTTTGTGGGTTTTTCTGAGACTCCTTCCATGGGACCTGTCGTGGTGCCTGTCCCTTGTGGCGTGACCAGGTGCTGGTGTAACTCATCTTCTTGTGCCTTGTCCTGTCTCTGACCATAAATACCATGTTGCGGAATAGCAAAGGCTCACGTCGAGGTCCTCAGGCAAAATGCAGCCCACCAGTCTCCCCCAGTAACCCACTCTCCATCCCCAGGTGCCCCATGCATCTGAGCTTCGTCAGACCCCAGCAGGCAGCTGTTCTCAGTGGCTCATTTATTGACACACAAACCTGGACCTCCACAGCAGCAGGATTATTATTAGAAAGAAGCATTGTTGGGGCTTGGTGCCCATCTGGGTTCCTGGACTGGCAATGAGTAGGTGGCTGCAGCAGGAGAAGCCACTCTCGGTTTGGCAGAGCTGTCCGGGACAGCTGGGGAGCAGTTTGAAGTAGGTTCTCTTTCCAGGGTCACAAAGGACATGTGAGGGAGAAAGCTGAAGCTCTCAGCAACACCACTGCCTTCCACGGGGCTGCCGAGCCACCTGCCCAGGAAGAGGGTCCTTTCGGTGCTGTTCGTACCTGCCTGGCAGGGAGGCTCACCTGTGTTGGTTGGTACCTGCCTGGGAAGGAGGCTCACAGGTATAATTTACTACCTGCCTCAGAGGTGGCTCACCTGTGCTGCTTAGTATCTGCCCAGGAGGGAGGCTCACCTGTGCTGTTTGGCACCTGTCTGGGAGGGAGGCTCACCTGTGGTGTTTAGGGCCTGTCTGGGAGGGAGGCTCACCTGTGGTGTTTAGGGCCTGTCTGGGAGGGAGGCTCACCTGTGGTGTTTAGGGCCTGTCTGGGAGGGAGGCTCACCTGTGCTGTTTGGCACCTGTCTGGGAGGGAGGCTCACCTGTGCTGTTTAGCACCTGTCTGGGAGGGAGGCTCACCTGTGCTGTTTGGCACCTGTCTGGGAGGGAGGCTCACCTGTGCTGTTTGGCACCTGTCTGGGAGGGAGGCTCACCTGTGCTGTTTAGCACCTGTCTGGGAAGGAGGCTCACCTGTGCTGTTTAGCACCTGTCTGGGAGGGAGACTCACCTGTGCTGTTTGGTGCCTGTCTGGGAGGGAGGCTCACCTGTGCTGTTTAGGGCCTGTCTGGGAGGGAGGCTCACCTGTGGTGTTTAGCGCCTGTCTGGGAGGGAGGCTCACCTGTGGTGTTTAGCACCTGTCTGGGAGGGAGGCTCACCTGTGCTGTTTAGCGCCTGTCTGGGAGGGAGGCTCACCTGTGCTGTTTAGCACCTGTCTTGGAGGGAGGCTCACCTGTGCTGTTTAGCACCTGTCTGGGAGGGAGGCTCACCTGTGCTGTTTAGCGCCTGTCTGGGAGGGGGCTCACCTGTGGTGTTTAGCACCTGTCTGGGAGGGAGGCTCACCTGTGGTGTTTAGGGCCTATCTGGGAGGGAGGCTCACCTGTGGTGTTTAGCGCCTGTCTGGGAGGGAGGCTCACATGTGCTGTTTAGCACCTGTCTGGGAGGGAAGCTCACCTGTGCTGTTTAGCACCTGTCTGGGAGGGAGGCTCACCTGTGGTGTTTAGCACCTGTCCGGGAGGGAGGCTCACGTGTGCTGTTTAGGGCCTGTCTGGGAGGGAGGCTCACCTGTGCTGTTTGGCACCTGTCTGGGAGGGAGGCTCACCTGTGCTGTTTGGCACCTGTCTGGGAGGGAAGCTGACGTGTGCTGTTTGGCACCTGTCTGGGAGGGAGGCTCACGTGTGCTGTTTAGGGCCTGTCTGGGAGGGAGGCTCACCTGTGCTGTTTGGCACCTGTCTGGGAGGGAGGCTCACCTGTGCTGTTTGGCACCTGTCTGGGAGGGAGGCTCACGTGTGCTGTTTGGCACCTGTCTGGGAGGGAGGCTCACCTGTGCTGTTTGGCACCTGTCTGGGAGGGAGGCTCACCTGTGCTGTTTGGCACCTGTCTGGGAGGGAGGCTCACCTGTGCTGTTTAGGGCCTGTCTGGGAGGGAGGCTCACCTGTGCTGTTTGGCACCTGTCTGGGAGGGAAGCTGACGTGTGCTGTTTAGGGCCTGTCTGGGAGGGAGGCTCACCTGTGCTGTTTAGCACCTGGCTGGGAGGGAGGCTCACGTGTGCTGTTTAGGGCCTGTCTGGGAGGGAGGCTCACCTGTGCTGTTTGGCACCTGTCTGGGAGGGAGGCTCACCTGTGCTGTTTGGCACCTGTCTGGGAGGGAGGCTCACCTGTGCTGTTTGGCACCTGTCTGGGAGGGAGGCTCACCTGTGCTGTTTGGCGCCTGTCTGGGAGGGAGGCTCACCTTTGCTGTTTGGCACCTGTCTGGGAGGGAGGCTCACGTGTGCTGTTTGGCACCTGTCTGGGAGGGAGGCTCACCTGTGCTGTTTGGCACCTGTCTGGGAGGGAGGCTCACCTGTGCTGTTTGGCACCTGTCTGGGAGGGAGGCTCACGTGTGCTGTTTAGGGCCTGTCTGGGAGGGAGGCTCACGTGTGCTGTTTGGCACCTGTCTGGGAGGGAGGCTCACCTGTGCTGTTGGCACCTGTCTGGGAGGGAGGCTCACCTGTGCTGTTTGGCACCTGTCTGGGAGGGAGGCTCACCTGTGCTGTTTGGCACCTGTCTGGGAGGGAGGCTCACCTGTGCTGTTTGGCACCTGTCTGGGAGTGAGGCTCACCTGTGCTGTTTAGGGCCTGTCTGGGAGGGAGGCTCACGTGTGCTGTTTGGCGCCTGTCTGGGAGGGAGGCTCACCTGTGCTGTTTAGGGCCTGTCTGGGAGGGAGTCTCACGTGTGCTTTTTAGCACCTGTCTTGGAGGGAGGCTCACCTGTGCTGTTTGGCGCCTGTCTGGGAGGGAGGCTCACATGTGCTGTTTAGGGCCTGTCTGGGAGGGAGTCTCACGTGTGCTTTTTAGCACCTGTCTTGGAGGGAGGCTCACTTGTGCTGTTTGGCGCCTATCTGGGAGGAAGGCTCACCTGTGCTGTTTATCGCCTGTCTGGGAGGAAGGCTCACCTGTGCTGTTTGGCGCCTATCTGGGAGGAAGGCTCACCTGTGCTGTTTATCGCCTGTCTGGGAGGAAGGCTCACTGCAGAAAAGAAGCTCATCTGTGCTGTTGAGCAGGTGTGGGTTGAGGGGGACTGTGGCGGTTTGATATTACAACACTGGAAAGGTGTGGCCTTTCACAAAGCCCCTGGCTGTAGTGGTTCCATTCCTACGAATTTACAATCAAGAGATTTGACAGAAGAAGAAATCTACATGACTAAAGATTGCATCACTAAATTATCCACAGCATCAAAAATAGCAAAGTGTGTTGTTAGTAGTGAACTGGATGGAAAATCAGACAGCCATTGAAGTGATTGTGAAAATGTCAGCACTGTAAGCACACACTACAGACACAGTGTGTGAAGGACACTTCCCAGGTGGTTGTGTGGATGTGGACAGAGCCCAGCAAATCTTAAACCAAAACGAAACTGAGGGCAGCGGTGTATGGATAATGATTCACTTTATAGAAGGAAGGCGAGCAGCGGCTTAGGCTGGGACTCAGCACAGCGTCTGTCACAGTGCCCTTCTTATGGCCCAGGTGAGGATGGCTCTGGGCTGAGGTCATGCTGTGGATGGGGTGGGGTGTGTGTGAGGGAGCCTAGCACAGGGCCACCTCTGCTCTGTTCATCCCTCACCTGCCCTGGCAGAGGCCACCTCCCACTGTCCTCCCATGGTTGGAGCTGTGGGAGGGCACCGCCCCCTCCCCACCACTGCATCTTGTCTTCTCCTGGGCCCTTGGAGTGGCTGAGTGGCCGAGCAGATGACCATGCCTTGTCAGTCCACAGATGGGAAGAGATGAAGTCACCTGACTTTCCAGGGAGGCTGTCTGCTTCCCTCACTCCCCACCTGGGCTGTACATTGCGATCACCTGAGTGAAGCCAGACACCTTCGGAGGCCCTGGCCAGTGAATCTCAACCTGGTGGGGGGGCGGGGTTGCCCCAGGGCATGTTGGCACCATGTCTGGAGATGCCTTGGTGGGGGGGGTGCTCCTGGCACCTGCTGGGTGGAGGCCCGGTGTCTGCTCAACATCCCAGAGTGTGGGGCAGCCCACAACAAAGAGATCTGTCCCAATTGCTGAGGCAGGGAACCCCTAGGCAGTGGGACCCTCAGCCACTCTGTGGCAGCTCCTTCGGGCAGCAGAGAGGGAGAGGCGTGGGGCAGCTGGTTTGCACAAATGGCAGCTTTGGATGAAGGTTTGGGGAATTGTATATTTGGCACACATTTGCTGAGCCTGGGAGCTGATCTGTTGCGGGAGAGCTTAGGGGCCCAGAAACGCAGTCTGTTCTGGGGCCCTGCTCCTGGGTCACCTGGCTGTCATGTACTCCTGCATTGGCCTCATGGGGAAAAAAACACAGTTCTGCTAGGTCCCAGGGACACCCTCAACCGCTGAGGCACCTGATGGTTGAGGGAGGGTCGAAGGGACCTGCGGCTGAGGCTTCAGGGTGGTGGTGGGGTGGGCAGTTAGGGCCCTTGTGTGCCTGGGCAAGAGTCATAGGGACAGATGACACTGGGGGACTATCAGCGTCCTGGGTGGAGCAGAAACCACAGTTTGATTGGCTACCTTCCAGGAGGGGCAGGAGATGAGGTCTGGGATGCAGGATGTGGGTGTTTCTAGAATCTTTGTAGAGTGTGTGTTGTGTGTGTGGCTGTGTATTTTTGTGGTGTGTGAGTGTATTTGTGTGGTGTGAGGATGTATTTGTGTGGTGTGTGTATTTTTGTGGTATGTATGTGTTGAGTGTGTGTGTGTTGTGTGTTGAATATGAGATGTTTGGTATATTTTTGTGGCATGTGTGTTGTGTATTTGTGCCCTGTGTGATTTGTGTGTATTCATGTGTGGTGTGCATTTTGTGTGGTGTGTGTATTGTGTATGTGGTATGTGTTCAGTGTGTGTGTATGTGTGTGTTTGTGTGTGCTGTGTGTGGTATGTGATTATGTGTGTGTGGTATGTGAAAGTATATGTACTTGTGTGTGGTGTGATTTGTGTGGTGTGCGCTGTGTGTCTATTCGTGCATGGGTTGCGTGTTGAATGCGTGTGGTGTATGTGTTGAGTGTGGAGCATGTGTGTGTGGAGGTGGTGTGTGTTGAATGTGTATTTGGGTGGGGCATGTGTGTGTAGTGTGTGTTGTGTGGTGTGTGATTGTGTGTGTGGTTTGTGTTGAATGAATATGTGAATTTGTGTTGGGGGTATGTTGAACGTGTGTGTTGTGTATTTGTGTGGGATATGTGTTGAATGTGTATTTGTGTGTGGTGTGTGTGGTGTATGTTGAGTATGTGTGTATGTGGTGGTGTGTTAAATGTGTGAGTGTATGTTGTATGACTGTATATTTGTGTGGTGTGTTGAGTATGTGTATATGGTGTGTGTTGAGTGTATGTTTATGTGGTGTGTATTGATTGTATTTGTGTGGTGTGTGATTGTGTACTTGGGGTGTATGTGTTGAATGTGTATTTGTGTGTGTTGTGTATTGAGTGCGTATTTGTGTGCTGTGTGATAGTGTATGTGGTGTGTTGAATATGTATGTGGGGTGTGGGTGTATGTTGAGTGCATCTGTGGTATGTGATATGTAGTGTGTTGAATGTTTATGTGGTATAATTGTGCATTTGTATGTGGTGTGTCGAGTGTGTATTTGTGTGGTGTGTGTGTATTTGGGGTTTGTGTGTGGTATGTTTTGAATGTGTACTTGTATGTGGTGTGTATTGTGTGTATTGTGTTTGTATGTGGTGTGTGAGTGTGTATGTGTTTGTGTGTTTGGTGTGTGTTGTGTATTTGTGTGGAGTATGTTTGTGTGTGATGTATTTTGAATGTGTATTTGTGTGGTGTGTGATTGTGGGGCACGTATGTGTGTTTAGATGTGGTATTGTGTATTTGAATGTGTACTTGTATGTGGTGTGTCGAGTGTGTGTTTGTGTGGTGTGTGTGTATTTGGGGTTTGTGTGTGGTATGTTTTGAATGTGTCCTTGTATGTGGTGTGTATTTGTGTGGTATGTGACAGTGTGAATGCGTTTGTATATGGGGTATGTATGTGGTATGTATTGAATGTGTATTTGTGTGGTATGAATTGAGTGTGTATTTGTGTGATGTGTGATTGTGTGGTATGTGTTGAACATGGGGTGTGTGTGTGGTGTATGAGTGTATTTGTGTGGTGTGATTATGTGTGGGGTATGTTGACTGTGTATGTGGTGTAATTGTGCATTTGGGGCTTGTGTGTGTGGTGTGTTGAGTGTATATGTGTGGTATGTATGTATTTGGGGTGTATGTGTGGTATGTGTTAAATGTGTATTCGTATGTGGTGTGTATTGAGTGTGTATTTGTGTAGTGTGTGATAGTGAATGTGGTGTGTGTTGAATGTGTATGTGGGGTGTGTGTGGTGTATGTTGAGTATATTTGTGTTGTGCATGATTATATGTGTGTGATGCATTGAATGTGTATGTATGTGGTGTAATTCTGTATTTGTGTGGGCTTGTGTGTGTGGTGTGTTGAGTGTGCATGTGGTTTGTGTTGAATGTGTATTTGTATGTTGTGTGATTGTGTATTTGTGTGTGGTGTGTTGAGTGTGCATGTGGTTTGTGTTGAATGTGTATTTGTATGTTGTGTGATTGTGTATTTGTGGTGTGTTGAGTGTGCATGTGGTTTGTGTTGAATGTGTATTTGGATGTTGTGTGATTGTGTATTTGTGTGGAGCATGTGCATGTTTGTGATGTGTGTTGGGTGTGTATTCATGTAGTGTGTTATGTTTGTGTGGGATGTTTGTGTTTGTGGTGTGTGAGTGTGTATGTATTTGTGTGTTTGGTGTGTGTTGTGTATTTGTGTGGAGTATGTTTGTGTGTGATGTATTTTGAATGTGTATTTGTGTGGTGTGTGATTGTGTGTGGGGCACGTATGTGTGTTTAGATGTGGTATTGTGTGTGTATTTGTGTGGGGTGTGTATGTGGTGTGTGTATATTTGGAGCATGTGTGTGATGTGTGTGATTGTGTATTTGTGTGGGGCATGTGTGTGGTGTGTTGTGTTTGTATTTGTGATGTGTGATTGTGTGTGGGTGGCATGTATATGTGTTTAGATGTGTTGAGTGTGTATTTGTGTGGGACATGGGTGTGTGTGTGGTGAGTGTGTTTGTATTTGTGGTGTGTGGGAGGGCATGTGTGTTTAGATGTGTTCAGTGAGTGTGTATTTGTGTGTGGTGTGTGTATGTGTATTTTTGTGGGGCATGTGTGTGTGGTGTGTTGAGTGTGTTTGTATTTGTGATGTGTGATTGTGTGTGGGGCATGCGTGTTTAGATGTGTATTTGTGTGGGGCATGTGTGTGTGGTGTGTATGTGGTGTGTGATTGTGTATTTGGGGTATGGGTGTGTGTGTGGTGTGTTGAGTGTGTATTTGTGGTGTGTGTGAAGGGGCATGTTGTGTTTAGATGTGTTCAGTGAGTGTGAATTTGTGGTGTGTGTGTGGTGTGTGTGGTGTTTGTGTATTTGTGTGGGGCATGGGTGTGTGTGTGGTGTGTTGAGTGTGTTTGTATTTGTGTGGTGTGTGATTGTGTTTGTACTGAAGAGGATCTGGGTGAACGTGGGGGCTATGGGCACATGGATGCCCACGGGGAAGGAGTTTGGGAGTGGCCAACCCCAGGGATCCTGGGGGCAGGGGCGGCCATGTTGGTCGGGTGATTGGCAGGCAGGTCATTCTGTCTGTGAGTTGGTCATGCTGGATGGCGGGTGCAGGCCCAGTGGAAGCTTTGGACTGGGTGGGTTTCCTGATAGGAGTGGAGTCCCTGTCCCCAGGCGCTGTGGGACAGGGTGGCCTGGGAGGGAGGTGGAGGCGTTGCTTGGTGATGAAAGGTGAGCTCCGTGTCTGCTTTTCAGACACTGAGGTTCCCGTCTCTGTGTCGTGTGTCCCTGGGGTAGACAGCGTGTGACCTGCAGGTGCTGTTTTCTTCCGGGCCACGCGTCCCCGTGACTGTCATGCCCGTCACCTGCGCTTTGTTGACGTTGTTCAGGCCACATGTGCGTGCCTGCGTGAGATGTTATTTTCCTTAAAATCGTTGTGTTTGTTTGCTCTCTGGACAGATGACAAGACGTTCCAGTGTGAGATGTGTTTCAGATTCTTCTCCACCAACAGCAACCTCTCCAAGCACAAGAAGAAGCACGGTGACAAGAAGTTTGCCTGTGAGGTCTGCAGCAAGATGTTCTACCGCAAGGACGTCATGCTAGACCACCAGCGCCGGCACCTGGAAGGTGAGCGCCACCTGCACCTGCTGCAGGGAACGGGAGAGGCGGCTCCTGCAGGGCGGGGTGGGGCAGGGTGGCGCGGAGCGGTCAGCAAGGCCTTTGGGGAGCAGCCTGGCACCGCCTGCTCCTGTGCCTGGAAACGCCTCCCATCAGACGGGGTGATCCTCTTCTGGGAACCTGGCTCAGGAGAGCCAGGAGCTGAGACACAGGTGTCAGACCTGCTATGCGCAAGGAGAAACACTGGAAATACCCCAGTGTTCCACACTGGGGGAGAGTTAAGAAAACTGGACTATTCATAGGGTCGAGTGTTTTACTGTCATTAGGAGTATTTTTTCAGAGATTCTAGATATTCAGTATGACAGAAAGTGGGAAAAACCAGTACAAGAGCAAATAAGAGCAGCAGCCCTCAAACACCTTTTCATAAAAATTTGGAAAGAAATATTTTATAATTACAAATGAAGCACACTATTGTTGAAAAGAAGATGTGAGACAGCAGAGTCCTGTGTAAAGTGTAACTCCCCTGGGTGTGGTGGCTCATGCTGGGAATCCCAGCACTTGGAGAGGCAGAGGCTGGAGGATCACTTGAGGCCAGCAGTTCAAGACCAGCCCAGGCAACATAGTGAGGCTCTGCTTCTGCAAAAGATTAGCTGGGTGTGGTGGCACATGCCTGTGGTCCCAGCTACTTGGGAAGCTGAGACAGGAGGATCTCTTGACCCTGGGGGGGTCGAGGCTGCAGTGAGCTGTGCTTGCACCACTGCACTCTAGAGCAAGACCCTATCTCAAAAAATATGTGTAAGCATAAAAAATGAAGCATAGCCGTGTCCATACAAACAGGCACACACACGTGCCTTTGTTCTGTAAAAGCAAGGCTGGAATTGCATCCTGTGTACATTTCAGCACGTTCCTTTTTTACTTGACGCTTTTCCTCATGTTGATTCATAAAGACCCAAACATGTGTCTTTGTGGTTCCTACGGTGGCATACTCAGGGCCTCTTGAATCAGACCTGGAGTCCACTTAGTGACTAGGTAGCCTTTAGCAAGCTTCTGTGCCTCAGTTTCCTCACCTGTGCAGGGGAGACAGTCATCAGACCTGACCCCCTAGGGTTGCTGTGATGGTTGGACCAGCTCCGTCTCTGGAAGCTTCTTGTATAGCACCCTGCACATAGCAAGCCTCATAAATGCCACGCTGTGGAGGCTGCCAGAAGTCAGCTTCTTCCAGGGACGAGGTGTAGCTGGGTTGCATTTTACAGTCTGACATAACTCAGGTCATCTTGTGTGGGAGTAAACTCAAGTGTTTGTGACTGTTTTATGGATGTCCTCATAGCAGAGCTTAGTCTAAGCCGTGCCTCAGACCCCAGTGTCCATAGTGCCGGGAGCCTTTGGGAAACGGTTCATTTGTTCCATGTCCAGCTCGCTGAGCATTTTTAAGTCCGGCTCTGCACTTACACCTGGCTGGGCAGGAACGCCCCCAGAGTGAGTCAGCAGTGTAGAAAGATCCTGAGAAGTGGGCTTCTCTCTGTCGGTCCAAACTTACCTGTTTTGCATAAACGTTTAAAAGTCTGCCTTGATCCCAGTTTGGAACAATATGCCTCAAAACCATAAAGATTTTATTACCAGCCTGATGTTGATCTGATTGATTTAATTTGCAAGAGATCAACATTAGTATCTTTAGATACAACATGCCTGCCTATTTCACCATCTGTAAGAATCGTGACTTGGCTTTGAGCCTTTAGAGGAGTAGAAACGCCCTCTTCTATGGAGCTCATCGTAGCTCTGCTACTTAAGACACTGTAGCGCTCGACACCCTTGTATTTCCAAATGTTTCAGATGCGAGAACCGTGTCTGCAGATCCCACGTGCATTGTGGCATCTCCCTTCCTTCCCTGGCGTGGCTTCAGGAATGGTGGTCAGTGCTGATGCCACACGGTGTGCAAGTGATGTGACAGAGCGCCACACTTGTGTCCCCCCCCATCGGCAGCCCGGCCCCCCATGCACTGGGAAGGACGCCGGCTGAATTGGAATCTGATGGCCCTTCCCGTGTTCTGTGTGTACTCATTGTCTCGCTGGTGGGGTTGGGAATTTCAGGCGTGCGACGGGTGAAGCGAGAGGACCTGGAGGCCGGCGGGGAGAACCTGGTCCGCTACAAGAAGGAGCCCTCCGGGTGCCCAGTGTGTGGCAAGGTAACGCTCGGGGTCCACATCGGAAGCTGGATGGAAAGCACATCATTTTCTTCAGTGAAGACTCTATGAGCTGTACTTATGGAGCATTGCAGGGAAGATCTGGGGGGTAGATGGGTGCCCAGGTTGTCTTAAACTGGTGTCTACCCATTTTACACACTTGTCGTTTGGATCTCTTTGGCACTTGAGATGGGTTTCCAGTGAGTGGGCTGAGAAAGAAGTGTTGTTCCTCTGTGCTGATTTTCCACCTAAGCTGTTCCCTGGCTCCCTCTCTCCTGTGTAGCATCGTTGAGAGTGACCTTGTGGTCAGCACTGGGGCGTCTGCAGGGGGACCCAGTGGCTTTGTTTTGCCTGTCAGCGCTGGTCTCCCCTGTGCAGTGGACAGGTGGCATTCTGTAAGTTAGAGCATGGCCGACCCCATGGCAGGTGCTCCCAGGCACACTCAGTGGATTCTGGTGCAGCCCGAGCGAGAAAAGTGTGGTGTCATCCGTGGGGGCACATCCATCCCAGGGCCACACGGTGTGGGATGTCCTGGCACCGGCTCAGGATTCAGGCACCTGGCTGCACGGCAGAGATGCTGGATCCTAAATATCCAGAAAACACGCTGCCCCTCCCGGGAGAGCCCAGGCCTGTGCTGTGGTAGCCACGGCCCTCAGGCTGCCATGGCCCTGTGTTCTGTACGTGAGAACCTTGGAGGTGTCCTCCTTTCTTCGTTAGACTCAGCTTTCACTCAGGTGACTATAAGATGTCATCTGTCCCCGGAGGCCTATGAACTGCCCTTCACAGGATGCAAAGCTCATGCTGCAGAGTAAGGGTTCTCAGCAGCTCCCAAGCGGGCTCTGGGCCCAGCCACTCCGGCACGTCGCTGAGGTGGCTTTGGGAGCTGCTGAGAGGAGGGTGTCCCGGTCACACACAGTTCCTGTGAGCCCCAGAGCGATGCCCATCCAGGCGCTTCAGCAGCTGGGAGCACAGGCCCCACAGGAGGCCAGCTGTGACTGTCCTCGGTGTCCTCTCAGCAGGCAGCGTCACCGGAGCATTTGGCCTTTTAAAGAGAAAACTGAGATACCCGTTTTTATATGAAACTTCCTGATTCTTTTCAAAACACAGAGAGAGCCTGAGCAAATGACAGAGCACGGTGGTGTGGTTGGGGGTCCAGGACGGTGGGCTGCGGGTTTGGGGGCCAAAGGGTAGGCCTGGGGTGGAGCAGGTGACTTAGAGCACCTTTGCGAGCTGGGCCGGCTATGCACAGGGCAGAGATGGGTGAAGCCTGTGCCCTTGGTCCTGTGTCCCTGGTCTTTCTCCCCACTGACCTCTGGCCCTTGGGGGTTCCTGGCCCCAAGCGGCTTCCATGCTGTTGAGGTATCACATGTGTGAAGCCGCCCGGCTCCGTGCCTGATGTCCAAACACGTGTTTATTCTATGCAGTGTTTATTGACTACCTGCTGGGGCAAGTTCAGGCAGTGAAGGAGCCTGTAGTTGGGGTGGCTGAATTCTCTGCCGTTTTTAGTAACTTCTCGTCTTCAGCCCAGCCTGCCCTGCAAAGACCATGACACCTGCAGATTCTGTCCTCTCCCGAAGCCTGCTAACCTTCCCACCTGTTGATTGCCCACCTAGCATCCTGGGATGAGGCACAGCGCTGTTGGCCCCTGGATCACCTGCACATCTTGGAAAGAGATGTCGCAGGGAGACGCCAGCATCTTGTCCCCAGTGAATCACTCATTCCCTTTCATTCATCTCTTACGTTCTCTTCTTGAGAATGTGGGCATCGGGCGAGCTCTAGGTCACACCCTGGGTTACTTGGCCTGTGGGAATGGTGATCCAGATAGAGACCTGCAGAGCTCTGTGGGGCGCTGGGGTTCCTAGGGCCCTAGCGGTGGTCTCAGCCGCCAGCCTTGTCCATTGCCCTGTGCCAGTGGAGCCACATCTGGACCACGGTATTCCCAGCACCAACCTCAGCTCTGGTCACAGAGGTGACGCCCTGGGATGGATATTGGTTGAATGAGTGCACCTCCACACCTGTCATGCTAGGCTGGAAATACCGGGAAATCAGGGACATTGTGAATGTGCATGAAACACAGTATCAAAGCCAAGGAGGGACCTTCTTTGGTACCTACTTTGAGAAGATTGCAGATATTTCTGTGATTTACTGGTTCCTTGGTAGTCCATCCTAGGGAAGTATTTAAATGAGCTAAAAAAAAATGGAGCTGAGCTCTCATTTATAACAAAGACTAGCAAATGGCCCATTTTCTATTGTAACATAAGCACCTGTTTACACAGTTGAGCCAGTAGCGCTCACTCTGGCATCAGTGACTATTTGTATCTGTCGCACGCTGAGGAACTGTTGAAGCGCAAGGCCTGAGCACAGTGCTGTGTTTCTGGGCCGGGCTGTGGTTTCCCTGGGGGAGCCTGATAGAGAGGCCCCTTCCCATCCCCAGGCCATGGCCCTCACCCTGCGGCTCCTCTGCCCACAGGTGTTCTCCTGCCGGAGCAACATGAACAAGCACCTGCTCACCCACGGCGACAAGAAGTACACGTGTGAGATCTGCGGGCGCAAGTTCTTCCGTGTGGACGTGCTCAGGGACCACATCCACGTCCACTTCAAGGTGTCGATCACATGCTGCCCTCACCCAGCCACGCTCATGGCAGGCCCCGGCCAGTGACCCTCAGTCAGCTCAGGCTTCCATAGCAGAGTTTTGCAGACGGGGCAGCTCACGGGCAGACACGTGCTGCTCACAGTTCTGCAGGCTGGATGTCCAGGCCGCGGTGGACTTGGTGTCTGGCGAGGCTCACTTCCTGGTTCCTAGATGGCGCCTTCTTGCTGTGTCCTCACGTGGTGCAAGGGCTGGGGGTCTCTTCTATAAGGGCCCAAATCCCCTTCTTTTTTTTTAAGACAGAGTCTTGCTCTGTCACCCAGGCTGGAGTGCAATGGCGAGATCTCGGCTTACTGCATCCTCCACCTCCTGGGTTCAAGTGATCCTCCCACCTCAGCCTCCAGAGTAGCTGGGATTACAGTCACCCGCCATCATACCTAGCTAATTTGTGCATTTTTATTCGAGGCAAGGTTTCATCATGTGGGTCAAGCTGGCCTTGAACTCCTGACCTCAGGTGATCCACCCGCCTCGGCCTCCCAAAGTGCTGGGATTACAGGCGTGAGCCACCGCGCCCAGCCCCAAATCCCATTCTTGAGGGCTCCGGCCTCGTGACCTAACGACCTCCTGGAGGCCCTGCTTCCTGATACCGTTTCCTGGTGGGTTAGGGTTCCACGTGGGAATTTGGGAGGGTGGCAGTATTCAGACCACAGCAGTGTCCTCAAATAGTTGGCAAGTTGGCCACATTTCAGCTCTCCAAATGAATTCTGTGACTGTCGGCCTCACCTCCTCCGGCCCAGCTGCCAGGCTTGAGGTACAGCTCCCCTGCTGTGGCTGCCTCCCAGCCTGGTCCTGGAATTCGCATCCCTGCCCGCCTTTGAGGAAAGGGAGGAGCGGAGTGGAAGCTCTGGGAGCAGGGAGGCCGTGGGCGTGATGAAGGGTGGGGGACACGCTGATCAAGAAGAACTGAAGAACAGACAGGTGGTATGGGAGGCCCCGGGGAAACAGGTGAGAGGCACCACCCACCCACTCAGGGGTGCTCCGGCAGTGCCTGGCCCTGGACACAGATTGGGATCTTCTGGGCACGTGAGAGGAAGCCACGGGTGGTGTGGAGAGTGAGCGGCTTTGGCGTTTTGGTGGGGAGCCCGCGGGATGAGCGGGGATGGGCTGGGGCACACGTGTGGCTCGTTAGGGCGTCATGAGCATCAGAGAGGCATTTTCTTCTGCATCTGGGGAAATGCTCGCTCATCCCTGTGCTGGAGATAAACTGAGGGACGCGTCTGCTGCGCTGCTAGAAACCAGAAGTGGTGGCTGTTTTCCAGGACATCGCGCTGATGGATGACCACCAGAGGGAGGAGTTTATCGGCAAGATCGGGATCTCCTCTGAAGAAAACGACGACAATTCGGACGAGAGCGCAGACTCGGAGCCTCACAAGTACAGCTGCAAGCGGTGCCAGGTATGGCGGGTCTGCCTCACAGTGCCTGGGTGGTCTGGAAAGGAAGTTGGCAGTTGCAGGGCTGCGGGCCCCATGCAGCAGGCGCCTTCATGCACCTCGGAAGCAGCCCTCCCTCCGCAAAGGCTCGGGCCAGTGGTCCTAGTGCAGGCTGGGTGCCCATCCATCACGTGTCCGGGAAGGCCAGCCTGTGTCACCTCAGGGATGGTCTATGTGGGTCTCACTGGCGCTCTCCAGGAACTCCCCTTGTGACCGGGTTCAGGAACACACGTGAAGTGTCTGGCCAGTGTGGGGATCGGCCTCCTAGAAGGCTGCAGGCTCTCCCTCTCCCCTCCCCGTCCTCTTCCCTGCTCAGGCCTGAACCCCTCACAAGGGCTCCCCTGTGCATGGACAGGGCTCACCAAAAAGAAGGGTGGCTGGTTTCTCAGGAGAACCTGGCCCTGAGTTTTGAGCACGAGGCCTTATGGCTTTGTAAAAGGTCCCCATTAAGCCTCTGAGAGTCCCTTCTTCTCTGGCATGAGTCATGGGCTCGTGGGGAGTGTCGGGTGCCCTGGTTTGTGGACGATTAGCTAAGAGGACCAGGGACCTCCTGCGGATGACAGCAGGGGCCTCTCTGCCTGCGTGCAGCTCACCTTCGGCCGGGGAAAGGAGTACCTGAAGCACATCATGGAGGTGCACAAGGAGAAGGGCCATGGCTGCAGCATCTGCAACCGCCGCTTCGCGCTGAAGGCCACCTACCACGCCCACATGGTCATCCACCGTGAGAACCTGCCGGACCCCAACGTGCAGAAGTGAGGCGTGGTCGGGGGGCTCCGGGTTGTGCCAGGAGGGAGGGGCGTGCTTCCTTGCAAAGAGATGCAGGCTTTAACAAGCCATTTGTAGCTCCGAGCAAGTGAAGTCCTCTGGGTCCCAGGCCAGGGCTGGGGGCAGCCGAGCTGGGGTTTATCCTGTGCTTCCGCACAGTCTCCTGGCACCAGCTGGCCATGTTACAGGAAAATAGCGGGTTCCTGGCCTGCCCACAGAATGACCCGAAATGCTTTTTCCTGCAACAATTAGGCTTCATTAATGCCAGGCCTCATGTGACTTACAGCCCATAATCCAGGCTGGCTGCTGAGTAAGTGACTCAGCAGTCCCCTCCACGGGTGCTAAGAAGCAGCACAGCCGGCCAGCCTCCACAGACACTTACCTTCTCCAGCTGTGGCAGCGGGACCTCTGGTCACGGCACGGCAGGGCATCGCCATGCCGTCTTCTCCCTGTGTCCTCACAGGGCCTTCCCTCTGTGCGTGTCTCTGCTCTGGTCTCATCTTCTTATGAGGACACCAGTCAGCTTGGTCAGGGACCCCCCTGATGACCTCGTTCCCATGTCGTCACCTCTGCAAACACCCCATCTCCAAATGCAGTCACACACTGAAGGGTTGGGGTTGAGAGTTCAGTGTAGGAACTGGGGGGTCGCGATCCAGCCTGTGGCAGAGGCTCCGACGTTTGCTTCTTTGATCATCCCTGTGGCACCTCGTTGCCTCATGTTTGCATATGGGGTGCTGGGGAAGGTGCCGGGAAGGTGCTGGGGAAGGTGCCGGGGAAGTGCTGGGGAAGGTGCCGGGGAAGGTGCCGGGGAAGTGCTGGGGAAGGTGCCGGGAAGGGCTGGGGAAGGTGCCGGGGAAGGTGCCGGGGAAGTGCTGGGGAAGGTGCCGGGAAGGGCTGGGGAAGGTGCCGGGGAAGTGCTGGGGAAGGTGCCGGGGAAGGTGCCGGGGAAGGTGCCGGGGAAGTGCTGGGGAAGGTGCCGGGGAAGGTGCCGGGGAAGTGCTGGGGAAGTGCTGGGGAAGGTGCCGGGGAAGGTGCCGGGGAAGTGCTGGGGAAGGGGCCGTGGCTGCCGCAGAGCCTGAGGCTGTGCAGCTGTTCTGAGCTCATCTCTGGTTTCAGGTACATCCACCCCTGCGAGATCTGTGGGCGCATCTTCAACAGCATAGGGAACCTAGAGCGCCACAAGCTCATCCACACAGGTATGTGACTGTCAGGGTGCGGGGGCCCGGCCCTGGTGGGAGGGGGCCGGCAGGGATGGACACTGGGGGTCTCCCAGTACTCCACACACAGCTGTCGCACCTGCCTCCCCTGTGCTTTCTGCTGTTTCTCCAGCTTTTTGCGTGCTTGTCAGCCCTGCCACTCATAGCCTGGCATCTCCAGCCCCCTCACCCCTCCAGGTCCTTGGGGACCTACTCTAGCCAGGGCTCTGCAGGTGCTGCTGAAGAGGTGACCCTGCCCCTGTTACTGTGCTTCCAGCTGCAGGGCAGGCCAAGCCCCTCTCCTCGGTGTGTCCTTTTTGTGGGCACCGCAGGCAGGTAGGGTCGGCTCTGAGCTGTGGATGCCTGTGTTCTCAGGTGTGAAGAGCCACGCCTGTGAGCAGTGTGGGAAGTCCTTCGCCAGGAAGGACATGCTGAAGGAGCACATGCGTGTGCACGACAATGTCCGCGAGTACCTGTGCGCCGAGTGTGGGAAAGGTAGGTGCAGGCGCCGGGGCCACAGGCCAGGCTCAGCCAGGCTGCCTGGCCGCAGGGTACAGGGAGGGGATGTGAGCCAGAACTGGCACATCGCACTGACCACAGTGCAGGTGGCATCACCAGGGTGTGGCTCTGGAAACCCAGAGGCTTCAGTCACTTACTTAAAAGGAAAAGACTGGAGGTAGGATTTAGATCAGGAATCTAAGAGAGAAAGCAAGTATCCGGAAAGCGGAAAGGTGTGATAAACGTAAAGGCAGAAGCAAATCACCTTCAAAGTTGGAAGATCGTGCAGGATCTGATTGTTGGAACGATTCTCAGAGCCACCGTGGGCTCCGACAGTGACGCAGAACCCTCAGCGTGTTCACCCGCAGACCAGGATCGGCAGGGGGGTGAGAGGAATTCACCACTGCCAAGGACTCTTCATTGTAACCACAGAACATTCGTTAATAACAAGCCTAGTGATAAAATGTCTCAATTAGGAAGCAAAAGAAAAAGATAATTCCAGTACATGCCATAATTTTAGCCCATTCCTGTTTTTTAAAAAAAACAACTTCCTAAAAGTTTTGGAGCAGCAGGTCTTGTCTTGGGCTGTCACCGTGACCAGCGTGAAGGCACAGAAGCTGCATTAACTCCACTCCCCGGACGAGCCCTGTGGGCACCCGCAGAATGACACTGCGTGTCAAAGCCTGAAGGAGCTGCCTGCAGAAGAGGGGTCTTTCCTTCCCCTCCTTCCTGGCCCTCAGTTCTTCGACTCAGAGGCCAGCACAGGCCTTTGTCCCTCCTCCAGGGTAACTTCATGCAGGGACGTGGGTGGTTTTAATGAAAAAGTGCATTCACTTCGCCAAGACTTATTTTTTAAACAAGACAAGCAGGTCTGAAGATGGCGTTGTTACTCTCCCCTCAGACCCCGGCCGCTCCTCGCAGACCCACTGTCAGTAGCAGTGTCTGCCTGCCTCACTGGAATACACTGGCTTCCTCTCCATCCCCATCTGCCTTAAGCTCCCTGCCCTTTTCACCACCTGCCCCCAGCTCCCCTTTCCTCCCCAACGCCCCCAAGACGTCAAATTTTTAAGACAGTCTGGTGGGCCCGTCGAGACTGGAGGGCCAGAGGTGGGACTTATACAGGGCTGGCCCTCTTAGGCAGGCAAAGAGGAGCCACACCTCGGTCCCCCACAGGTCCCCACATGCCACCAGGTACCCTGGGAGGCGAGGGGTGCGGAATAAAGCCACATTTCACGATGTCGTAGACATTTAGTGTTTGAAATGTGTTAATTACTTAGTCGCATGGATTTTTAAAATGAATTCTGAATAGTTAAAATTCTGGCATTAATCCGTTGGTTACCACATTTATTTCACCTACCACCAGATTTCGGCATCGCCGTCTTGCTGTCACGTGACAGTTGCTAGTACAGACGAGCACGTGCTGTTTCTGTGCTCATTTGTTTTGCACACTTTGCTGTTCTTTTTTTACTTGGAAATGCATCTTGGAGATTTTTTTTACGTCAGAACATGTAAATATTGCCTGATTTTAATTTTCAAACCCTTGACACGGTTCCATCATGTGGATTCATATAACCAGAGCCTTTCTTCATGAAGTTTCTAGTTGTTTTTTTAATAGTCATTCATGACTGCAGTCTTGGCAGGGAACAGTGCTGCATGTTATTACTTTACATTTTTTTCCCCGAAGTTCTAGCCCTGATCAGGGACTTAGCCAGTGTCGGGGACCAAGTGCGAGGCTGTTGGAAGTCATGACGGTCTGTCGCCGGCAGGCGGGGGCAGGGCCCAGCCCACAGGTTTTCTGTGTGTGTGGAGGAAAACATCACACACAGCAATCACGTCATGGGCTCTGAAATACTCAAGAACGATCCACAAGAACTCAGCGTGGCCAGTGGGAATGTGACACTAGGTGTTGACAGCTATGAAAAAGGCATGCATGCCCTGTTCAGGCTCGGAAATGTTAAGTATTTTAAAAAACATCAGTTTTCCCCATGGTAATGTGTTGAATGAGAGCGAGCTTAAAATGCCCTCTGTGTGGCGCTTGTGTTTATTTTGAAACTGATCGCAGGTTTTCTTTGTTAAATGGAAGGAGGGACATGACAGTCACGAACGCTGGTGGCGGGGAGGTTGGAACATGCAGATGAGCGTTGCCGTCCCTTTCCTTCTTATTTATTTTCTGGCTTTTCTCTGACTGTGTATTGGTTTTGGAATTTGGAATATGTTCATTTTAGGAGCAGGAAGAGGGAGGTGCTGGGTCTCGCATGTCGACAATGACCAGCACTCTTTTTTTTTTTTTAATCAAAAAGATTAAAAGTAACGTTTTCAGGTGAAATCTCCCTTGGGTCGTTGGTAACAGGGCTGCGGGAGCAGTCCCCACGCGGCGGGAGCCCTGTGCTGTGTGCCTGCGGCGAGGCTTCATCTCCGGCGTTTGCTCCCCCTGCTGGCCCAGCCTTTAGAATTCTCACAGGAGGTGGTGGGCGGTCACCGCTGCATCTGGTCGGGGTGGAATGGGATGAGAAACTTTCACCAGCTTACGACCATCCGAGCTGTTTTCAGGCTCAGTAGTTCTTCCTCAAATGTGGAGGGAACACGGTGGCCTGGGAGTGCAGGCTGCCCAGTGCAGGTTCCTCCTCGGTGGTGGGGAGGCTGCCTCTGGGCTGGGTCTGCCTGTGCCCTGGTGCGTGTGAGCCTCCCGGGTGGGGGTGCCAAGCTGCCCATGCTCGTGCCCCCTGCAGAGGGCCCTGTAAAGTGCTGCCTCTCCCAGCGCCCTACGTCCTCTGGCTCAGCCTCTGTGCCAGGGCCATCCCTTTCTCCACTGGCTGCACAACTGAGGCTTTGGAATATTTCACCTTCTTAAGATTAGCTTTTTAAATCAGAGGTAGATTGAAAGCCACTACCGAAGCCATCTAGTGTCCGAACCCTAATTACCACTCATATTGTCAAGGTCATACTTTTATTAATGTATCTCTCACCTAATTCTCCTGCTGGGTTGCCATGGGCACGCTGGGAAGTTTACGCACGCCCCGTTTTGCTCATGTGTGGTTGGGGCTGAGCCAGACCCTGGCAGGGGTGAGTGCACCTGATGTCACAGTCAGTCTCTCCTGGCCTCTGGCACAGTCACTTCCCAGGTCTCACCACTGGTGGACCGGGATCCTCAGGGGCTGGCCCAGGTCCTCACTAGTACTGCGTGGGCCGCTGCCTGTGCCTGCCCCAGGGTCTCAGCATGGGCCTGGGTGGGCTGCATGGGGGTGTGGCCACCTCTGACCCACTCTGTCCTTGAAGGCATGAAGACTAAGCACGCGCTGCGCCACCACATGAAGCTACACAAGGGCATCAAGGAGTACGAGTGCAAGGAGTGCCACCGCAGGTTCGCGCAGAAGGTCAACATGCTCAAGCACTGCAAGCGGCACACGGGTGAGTCCAGGGCTGGCCATGCCGGCCACGGCACCCGCTCTGCAGGGAAGCCAGGTGGGCCGTGGAAGGAGAGAGAGCCACCTCAAGATGGTCCCTCCTTGTGACTCCCAGTGAGTGCCGGGTTCTCCAAGGGAGCTGCCTGGAGCTGTGGTGAGCAGCTATGTGTCTCAAAAGGTCCCCCTTTCACAGGGGCTCTGTCACCCGCAGCGTGTGCCACACAGCTCACGGCGGGGATTTGGGAGACGGGTGAGTCCTTAAGTGGTCCTCCCATTGAGCCGTTTCCCCCTAAGGAATGTGCATAAGAAATAGTGACCAGACAAGGGCCAGGGATGCTCGCAAGGCTGCTTGTCATCTGCGTGTGCTAGGGCAGGTGCCAGGAGGTCAGAAGTGGCCTTGGGAGGGCGAAGGCTAAGCCTGGTTCATCCAGGAAAGAGCAAGCTGTCTGCTCGGTTGATGCGTGTTACGTTGATGTGCACGGAAAGGAGTCGGTGACACGACAGGTCACAGAGCAGCCTGTGCAGCCGCTAACACTGTTCGTCTTATGAAGGTTTTCTGCATGGGCGAGTGTGTGCTTGCGGAGAGAGGATTGAGACATCAGAATTGAGAGAAGGTTGTCCCTGGGTGATGGAACCTGTCTTGAGTGTGAAGTTCTCTGGAGTGAGCCTGCTCCGGGCTCCCTGGGGGCCCTCACCTGCATGCTGGGCCCTTTCATCATCCGGCCCTCCTCACCTACCCACCTCACCTGCCCTCCTCACCCGCCTACTTCACCTGCCCTCCTCGCCTGCCCACCTCACCTGCCCACCTCGCCTGCCCTCCTGGCCTGCCCACCTCACCTGCCCACCTGCCTCCCCTGCTCCCCAGCCTGGGCAACAAGAGCGAAACTCTGTCTCAAAAAATAAATAAATAAATTCCTGTTGTTTGTCTCTGTGGGTTCCACTCTCTGTCTGTGTTCTCAGGCAGCTATCCCCACAGCTCATGACTCTCTGATACGAAATGTCACCATGGAAGCGTGAACTTTCCAAGTCACACTTTTCAGGCTGAGGCTGGGATGAGCGTTCATTGTCTGCCATCTTGCAATTCACCTTCCCCCAAAGGCTCTGCAGTGCCTAGAACATGTCAGGGGAAGATGTTCTCGGATGTGGACTGGAAACATTCATTAAACATAAGGAAGTTACGTGCGCCTTTCTCTGCAGGGATTAAAGATTTCATGTGTGAATTATGTGGGAAGACCTTCAGCGAGAGGAACACCATGGAGACCCACAAGCTCATCCACACAGGTAAGCGGGCGCAGCCTGCAGAAGCCTTCGGGGCCACACGCAATGGGCTGCCAGGGCCATCTGAGTGCCTACGGGGGTGGAAACAACTGTTGTATCACCTAGACTGTCCCAGCACAGGTAGTGATGTCTGGGCTTCATGGTGGCCCCTTGGCCTCTAAAGGTCAGCCGCCACAGCTTTCAAGTGTCCCTTCTTGAATTTCTCATATTGGAGCAGGGATGCAGAGGCTCCATGCTCATATGTGCTTGGGGACCAGCACCGGCCCTCTCAGGACGGACAGGGCGTGACAGGCTTCTTGCGGCCAGGGTCACTGAGATGACTGCACTGGTGACCTGCATGTCTTTTCCTTTCGACATTCATGTGTATCTATGTGTGTGCAAAGTGGGCAAGCAGTGGACGTGCTCAGTGTGTGACAAGAAGTACGTGACCGAGTACATGCTTCAGAAGCACGTGCAGCTCACACACGACAAGGTGGAGGCGCAGAGCTGCCAGCTGTGCGGGACGAAGGTGTCCACCAGGGCCTCCATGAGCCGGCACATGCGGCGTAAGCACCCCGAGGTAAGCTGGGGGCTGTGCCCCCCCAATGCCCTGCCAGTGGGCCCTGCGCTAGATACCCTCATGCTGGCACCTGCCCTGCCTCCCTCTGCAGACCCCAAGTTCTGGAGGCTGGGCCTGGATCTTCCGTGCCTCTGTGACTGGCACTGTCTGCCACACAGGAGGCACTGAGCGAGTGGCTGAGAAAGGCTGGGAGAGCCTCAGGCGGACCTTTGCTGAGGTTATAAATTACATCCTCCCTGAAATTACAGCAAGATGGAAGCGCAGCCCTCCCACCCCCCAATTCCTCCCACCCATGGAACCCATGTGCAAAATGGGGGCTGCGCGTGGTGTTGGGGCTGATCAAAGTGTGGTGCTGAGGACGGTCGGGGGAGATTGTACAGACGCAGGCAGAGCCTGGCTGCCCCGGAAGCCTGCTCTACACCAAGGACCGGCACTTCCCGTAGTTAAACGTGCTTTAAGAAGGAGCACCCTGCAGAACAGAACCAGAGCAAAACTTGGTGGTCAGGTCGTGGAAAGGAGTAAAAGCAGCGAAAGGAATTATAAACACGGTATCCATAGGTTTGACTCGGTAAGCACTCGGAACAAATCAGGCCAAAGGCAAAGTGGAAAATCCATGGGGCTGTGACTGTCTCAGACAGACAGAACCTGTTAACATTAGTGGTAACAAGCCCTCGCTGAGAAACGTAGCGCACCCGGGTGTGCAGAGAGGGAGCTCGTGCAGGAAGAACGTCTGTGGTGGAAAACACGTGGGAAGGCGTTCAGCTCACTGCGCATCCCAGAAACGCAAACAGTAGCAGTGGGGGACGGCACCCCTCGCCTGCGGAGGGAACAGGAGGTTTTAGGTCCAGTGTGGCCACGCTGCTGGCCGGCATGAGCTGCCGCGCTCAGCCTGGGATGCTTTTCTTGAAGGCAGCATCAGTTTAGTAGATGATTATTCCAACCCCTCGACATCCTGCAGTAGGAAACGATTCGCTTAATGACAGTTTAGCAGTGTTTGCCTACACTCACAGGCTTACACGGATTCGAAATAGAATTGTGAAATGCTCACGACGTACGTGAAAGAGCAGTATGTGCTGTGTGTGTGTGATGTGTGTGTATACAGTGTGTGTCACACACATCGTGTGTATATGTAATACTCAATTATGCAAATGAGATCGCAAAGAAAGGAGCAGAACATCCCACATGATTTTCTCGTGCTGTTGAAGGTATGAGTAATTTCTTGTCTTCACATTTTTCTCCGTTTTCTGATCCCCTGTAATGAGCGTGACTTCCTTTTGGAATTAGGAAAGCACCGTCTGCCTCAGGCATCAGTCTGGTGGCTCCTAGTTTGGGGGTGATCCGGGATGTCGCTGTGTTTCTGCTGCTCTGCAGCCTGATCAGGCTCCTGGGTGGTGGTGTCAGTCTGGTGGCTCCTAGTTTGGGGGTGATCTGGGATGTCGTGTTCCTGCTCCTCTGCAGCTTGATCAGGCTCCCGGGTGGTGCAGGGACTCAAGCTGCTCTCTGGTCCCGGAAGCCAGGGCCCTGTGCTGGTGTCATCTGCCCTGTGCCCCGCTCAGCGGGGAGCTTGGATCCCCGTAACTGAGCTCCATTGCTTCTCTTTCCATGTAGTGACCAGATGGTGTTTTTACCTAGGAAAAGAGAGTCGGGAGCAGGAACACAAAGCACCAGGATCACCTTGGCACCTCAGCGGCAGGGCAGGCCCTGCAGCCTACCCAGCAGGCCATGAGCACAGCTGGAGTTTGAGCCATTTCTCTCCATGCCTGGGGGTTTATAGACTTCAGTGTATTGATAAAGAGTGTGCACATCACGTTTGCACACCGGAGGGAGGTTTGATGTGCATAGGTGGGTGGAGAGGCCTTGCTGATGAAGACATCTCCCACACACTGCCGGGCAGTCCTCTCCCCAGGATTAAACCACTTCCCGAGGTTACTGCAAGTTCCCCTTCTGTGCTCTGCTCCTTAAACTGGGCTGTGTGTTACGCATCCTCACTTTACTCAAGCCCAGACCAGACAGAGCCCAGTGAAAGGGGTGCGGGGGGATGTTGTCCGTTGCTGTTCTCGAGCCGGTTTGTTTCTGCAGCCTTTTGTCCTGTGCCATTCCTTTTGATCATCTCACGGTTGTCTCCTACGTTGACTCAGCATGTGCCTGCCAGTCACGGGCCAGCCAGCCACGGTCCATCCCTGCCCCCCGGACTGTACGGGCTGGGTAGGAAACAGAAGGAAAAGTAAGAAGTAGGCAGAGAGGCAGAGTAATCACAAACTAGAATAGAGGGCGTGGGCGGAAGAGGCAGCCCCGGATAGCAGCGTGAAGGGAAGGCAGGGGATTCGGTTGGCTCTGTGTGGCTGTGTGTGCCGCAGTGGGGCCTGGCTGTCTGAGAGGGGCACGTCAGGGCTCCACCAAGCCTGTCCCCGTTGGTTATGCCACAGATTCAGGAGGAGGAAGGTGCTCGTTGGAGACGAACACTTAACCAATTAAGTTAAAACTAGTTATAGTTTGACTGTTCAGCTAGTTAAACAGGAGTAAACTACTTACAGAGATTCAGAATCTTTTAGGATTGATAGTGTTTTGTGACTCCAAGCTGCAGTTTTTCTCTTCACTGTGAATGTTACATTAAAAACAAAACACTTTTCACTTTGTCTTATCTCCTAAGAATAAAGCTACTGCTTTTATAGTGGTTCTTGGTGGCATCAGCTTTCAGACGCTGTGACTAGGATTCTGATGGAGGTGCTGGTGGAAATGGTGCTAAAGGTGATGGCAGTGATGGGGGAGGTGGTGGTGGTGGTGATGAAGGTGGAGATGGTGATGGTGTTAGTGTTGGTGATGGTGATAGGGGTGGTAGTGGTGGTGATGCCACATGGTGGTAGTGGTACTGATGGTGAGGGTGGCGGTGACCATGTTGGTGGTGACGGTGGTGGAGGTGGAAGTATTGGTGGTGGTGATGGCGGTGACCGTGTTGGTGGTGACGGTGGTGGAGGTGGAAGTATTGGTGGTGGTGATGGTGGTGACCGTGTTGGTGGTGACGGTGGTGGAGGTGGAAGTATTGGTGGTGGTGATGGCGGTGACCGTGTTGGTGGTGATGATGGTAATGATAGTGATGGAGGAGGTGGTGACAGTGGTGGAGGTGGAAGTATTGGTGGTGGTGATGGCGGTGACCGTGTTAGTGGTGACGGTGGTGGAGGTGGAAGTATTGGTGGTGGTGATGGTGGTGACCATGTTGGTGGTGACGGTGGTAGAGGTGGAAGTATTGGTGGTGGTGATGGCAGTGACCGTGTTGGTGGTGATGATGGTAATGATAGTGATGGAGGAGGTGGTGACGGTGGTGGAGGTGGAAGTATTGGTGGTGGTGATGGTGGTGACCGTGTTGGTGGTGACGGTGGTGGAGGTGGAAGTATTGGTGGTGGTGATGGTGGTGACCGTGTTGGTGGTGATGATGGTAATGATAGTGATGGAGGAGGTGGTGACGGTGGTGGAGGTGGAAGTATTGGTGGTGGTGATGGTGGTGACCGTGTTGGTGGTGACGGTGGTGGAGGTGGAAGTATTGGTGGTGGTGATGGTGGTGACCGTGTTGGTGGTGATGATGGTAATGATAGTGATGGAGGAGGTGGTGACAGTGGTGGAGGTGGAAGTATTGGTGGTGGTGATGGCGGTGACCGTGTTGGTGGTGACGGTGGTGGAGGTGGAAGTATTGGTGGTGGTGATGGCGGTGACCATGTTGGTGGTGACGGTGGTGGAGGTGGAAGTATTGGTGGTGGTGATGGCAGTGACCGTGTTGGTGGTGATGATGGTAATGATAGTGATGGAGGAGGTGGTGACGGTGGGGAGGTGGAAGTATTGGTGGTGGTGATGGTGGTGACCGTGTTGGTGGTGACGGTGGTGGAGGTGGAAGTATTGGTGGTGGTGATGGCGGTGACCGTGTTGGTGGTGATGATGGTAATGATAGTGATGGAGGAGGTGGTGACGGTGGTGGAGGTGGAAGTATTGGTGGTGGTGATGGCGGTGACCGTGTTGGTGGTGACGGTGGTGGAGGTGGAAGTATTGGTGGTGCTGATGGTGGTGACCGTGTTGGTGGTGATGATGGTAATGATAGTGATGGAGGAGGTGGTGACAGTGGTGGAGGTGGAAGTATTGGTGGTGGTGATGGCGGTGACCGTGTTGGTGGTGACGGTGGTGGAGGTGGAAGTATTGGTGGTGGTGATGGCGGTGACCATGTTGGTGGTGACGGTGGTGGAGGTGGAAGTATTGGTGGGGGTGATGGCAGTGACCGTGTTGGTGGTGATGATGGTAATGATAGTGATGGAGGAGGTGGTGACGGTGGTGGAGGTGGAAGTATTGGTGGTGGTGATGGCGGTGACCGTGTTGGTGGTGACGGTGGTGGAGGTGGAAGTATTGGTGGTGGTGATGGCGGTGACCGTGTTGGTGGTGACGGTGGTGGAGGTGGAAGTATTGGTGGTGGTGATGGCGGTGACTGTGTTGGTGGTGACGGTGGTGGAGGTGGAAGTATTGGTGGTGGTGATGGCGGTGACCGTGTTGGTGGTGACGGTGGTGGAGGTGGATGTATTGGTGGTGGTGATGGCGGTGACCGTGTTGGTGGTGACGGTGGTGGAGGTGGAAGTATTGGTGGTGGTGATGGTGGTGACCGTGTTGGTGGTGATGGTGAGGATACTGTGACAGAGGTGATAATGAGGATGGTGGTGCTTATGTGGGTGATGATGGTGACCATAGAGAGTGCATCCACAGCAGTCTGGTCGCTTTTGCTCAGGGTCCTTTGAGAGTGTCACAGTTTAGATCTGTGCTCAGTGTCAATGAGAGAGAGTTACACTGGAGTCTTCAAAGCCGTTGTCAGGATTTATGTTAACTTACAGCACTTGCAGGCCAGCCTTTATTTGCCATCTTTTCCAAGAAGGGGCCCGACCTCGTCATTGGTGTGAATTTCACGATGCACTTCCCTGCTGTCTTTTCAAATGAGTTGCATCCACAAAGCATCGTCTGCTTTTCCATTTTGATTTCCTTTAGTGTGTCAGAACTTTAAAGATGTTTGCAAAGCTGTTTGGGTGAAGCACCTTCTGGGCAGACTTTGGCTGATTTCTAGCCCCTCCCCTTTATCACACCTTCCCCTCGTGTTCTGCTGTCTCTCTGCACTCCTGTTCCATTGTCTTTCTTATGATCTAATGAGGTCATTACAAGAACAAATGCAGCTGCTGTTAGCAGGCTGTGGACAGGGAAGATCACTCACCTTTGGGCGAAACACACCGAGCTGGTGGGAGGGGCCCTGTGGGCACACAGGGCGTGCTGAGGACCCTGTTCCGTGTGGCTGTCGAAGGGAAGGTAGGGGCAGGCTGTCACTTCATCACAAAACCGACGAATGAAGGCGCTTGTGTATGGATTCAACCATTGGACGACGTGTCAGGCACAAATGTCTGCCTTTTGGTGATTCCTCACAGAACAGGGTCACCGTACCGTATCTTACCTCGCCGCGGTCTTCCTTGGAAATGACAGAAGTGCCACTGAAACCTCACCCCTTTGGTGTGGGGCAGAAACGGGAGGACAGTCTCCCCCTGGGAGAGTGGACGTGAGATGATACAGGGGCAGGAGTGTTGCAGGAGTGTGAAGTGAGGGCTGAGGATAAGCCCTGGGCGTCTGGACACAGTTTTAAAGTCAGAGCTGAATGGAGGAGATAGGAAGGGCGGCGGATGCCTGGGAGGGAAGGGCCGGAGTGGCGGATGTGGTCCCGAGGTGTGTGTGACTTCTGGGTTCCCACCTGTGTCAGCAGCACTCCCACCCCCAGCTCACACCCTGTGCTCCTCGTAGGTGCTCGCAGTGAGGATTGACGACCTGGACCACCTCCCGGAGACCACCACCATCGATGCCTCCTCCATCGGCATTGTCCAGGTGAGCAGAAACGGAGGGGTAAGCAGCAGACACCTGCAGAGGGGACCCTGAGGGGCTTGGACAGGCCGGGAGGGAGCAGCTTCTAGGCCTGTGGCCAACATCACCTGTTTTCTTGGCTTCTTTTTCCCTCAGAACCTTTTAGATAATCTTCTAGTTTCTGTGATTTCAGTTCGTTGAATACTGGTGTATTTCACTTTGGAAAACAGATGTTTTCTAGAAAAAAATGAGAAATTAGAACAATTGGCTGGGTGTGGTGGCTCACCCCTGTAATCCCAGCAATTTGGGAGGCCAAGGCCGGCAGATCACTTGAGGTCAGGAGTTTGAGACCAACCTGGCCAACATGGCGAAACCCTGTCTCTACTAAAAATACAAAAATTAGCCGGTCGTGGTAGCGCATGCCTGTAATCCCAGCTACTCGGGAGGCTGAGACTGGAGAATTCCTTGAACCCAGGGGTTGGAGGTTGCAGTGAGCCAAGATAGCGCCATTGCCCTCCAGCCTGGGTAACAGAGTGAGACTCCATCTCAAAAATAAAAAAAAAGGAAATTAGAATAGTCTTTAAACTGTTATAAGCAAAATTAGTTTACTGATTAGATGAACTTACTTTTTAAAGAAATTTTTAGTTAGCAAAAGTTTCTTTATTACAAAGAGAGTGCCATGCTCTCAGTGGTCCCAGATGACGTTTCTGCCTCTTGTTCTGAGACAGTGCCTTAGAGCGCAGTCTTGATGAAGTGACATGTCCGGCTGAGTGACGTGCGGCAGCGCAGCTCCAGCCGGAACCCACAGGCTGTTTCTACCCTGGGCGAGTCATGGGCATGGAGGGCAGGGACGTCCCACCATGACCACAGTGTAGGCCTCCACTGGGTCTGTCTGCCACTGGGGTAGGACCGGGTCGTGTGGAATGGTGTGGGAGGAGTGCAGGTGAGCCCTCAGCAGCCACCGCTGCCCCGCAGCCCTGTGAACCTGAGCTAGCCTGGCTGTGGAGCCGGCCCAGTTCAGAAGATGGGGTCACAGCCCGGCGCAGGGAAGCATGCGGGGAGGGGACCCACTGGGATCATCACTGCAGCGGGCCCTGGTTTCCTGTCCCAAGCGGAGATGACCCCACAGTTTTGTGGTCAAACCTATTTTCATTCAAAATGGTTTTTCACAGTGGATCTGTTGCAGCCTTGGGAAAGGGAGCCCTGATTTGAAAGTGCTTTAAGCTTTGCTCTACAAGCTCCCCAGGGCGGAAACTTTCCTTTACCCAGTGGCTTAAAAAATTAGTTTAAAAAAAGTATTTACATTTTGGCATAAAATATGACTTTTCAAAATATGACTTATATGTATTTAAAAAAAAAAAACTGCAACTAAAGGAACTTGCCCCAATCCTTAGAAATACAAGAACCAGCTGTGGTCACGCTGTTTGCTGTGGCAGCTCAGTGGCCCACGAGCCTTCCCACTGATCCAAGCATGTGTCCGGGACAGTGCTGGGGCTGCCCTGGCCACTGTGTGACGTGACCAACTCACCTGATTTTCTTGCAGCCTGAGCTGACTCTGGAGCAGGAAGATTTGGCCGAAGGGAAGCACGGGAAAGCCACCAAGAGAAGTCACAAGAGAAAGCAGAAGCCGGAAGAGGAAGCGGGCGCTCCAGTGCCTGAGGACACCACCTTCAGCGAATACTCAGAGAAAGAGACCGAGTTCACAGGCAGCGTAGGCGATGAGACCAACTCCGCCGTGCAGAGCATTCAGCAGGTCGGTTTGCTGCTTCAGGCTCCGATTAGGTGCCAGTCACTTTAGCCAGCGGCGGCTTTCCCTGAGCGTGAGAGCCCTATGTGTGTGTGACTCCTGCTGTTTTTACTATACACGGTGCACGTGGTAGGCTCCATGTGGTTGAAGGCGGCAGACATGTTCCATTATTCACTCAAGCATGTTTCACGTAAGCATTTCTGAGTTCTGACCTACAGGCCATGCTTGTCATTGTTAGTGGCAGAGTACGTTCGAGCATGTTGAAGAGCAGTACCCCTGCCCGGGTGGGAAGTAGGCGGGCCGTTTGCAGTTGGCGGAGGTCACAGATGGCCTGCCCAAATACCCTTGCGTGAAAGTTCAGCCCTTGCGTTTGCCGACCAGCCGGAGAGCAGGGACCTGCAAAGCAGAGGATGCCTCAGTATGGAGGGGAAGGCAAGGCTGGGATTGGCCCACAGTCCCACTGTCCTGACCGGAACCTGCCGTCTTGCTCAGCCTGCGTCACTCTTGCTTTCGAAACGTCCGAGGGTTGGATCAGTCTGTCTCAGACTCACTTCTCTCTCTTGTTTTGGGGGATGGTCATCTTGACTGCAAAAGTTCCTCATTTATTTGGCCTTTCATCACTCTCCATGAAAGAGAATGTGTTCTCTTATTAGCAATTGGTACTGCAAATATTTTTATTGTTCTTTTTAGTTTTGTGGTGGGATTTTCATTTACCAACCGCAGGGCACGTGACAGGATTGAGTAGAAAAGAATCAATCTGTTTTCTGTCTTTTCATGCTTACTTTTTTCTGTTTTGTTTTTTTCTAGCCAGTGAAATTAATATGTTTCTCCTTCCTTCATGATTGTGTGCGTTTCTTGTTTTTCTTTTCTGCTGGAGTTTTTCCAGAACAAAATTAACTTTGTTTCCTCTTTCACCAAAGAATGTGGTGCATCCTGTTCCTGGGGCCGGGTGTGTGGTTGTTTCGGCGGGTAGCAGAGCGCACCCTGGGGAGATCCGTGCGTTCTCCATTTCACAGAAATAACGACCTGATTCCTGCTGTGTGTGACTCTTCCAGGTAGTGGTGACCCTGGGCGACCCAAATGTGACCACACCGCCCAGCTCAGTCGGCTTGAGCAACATCACCGTGACCCCCATCAGCACTGCAGCTGGGACTCAGTTTACCAATCTGCAGCCGGTGGCCCCCGAGCGCCAGTTACAGCTGGACAGCTCGGTCCTGACCGTGACCTTCGATGCCGTCAGCGGCTCTGCCATGTTGCACAGCCGGCAAAGTGACGTCCAGATCCACCCCCAGCCCGAAGCCTCGAACCCACAGTCTGTGGCCCACTTCATCAATCTGACCACCCTGGTCAACTCCATCACGCCCCTGGGGAGCCAGCTCAGTGACCAGCACCCCCTTACATGGCGGGCAGTGCCCCAGACTGACGTCCTGCCGCCCCCGCAGCCGCAGGCGGCCCCGCAGCAGGCAGCCCAGCCCCAGGTGCAGGCGGAGCAGCAACAGCAGATGTACAGCTACTGAGCTGCCTTAACCAGACTCGGGCAGGGACTGCAGAGGGAGGTTTTCTGTTTAGATTTGTTTGCTGGATACCAAACAAACAAAGTCACGCATTGCAATGGAAGGTTGACTTAGCTTTGCAGAGTCTCTCCAGATCCCCCCAGCAACCATTGCGGGCTGTCAGCTTAACTCCAGAAGTGACCTCTGGCAGGCTGGCCTTTTAAACTAGCTGAGGTTCCACACTATGCCTTACCAAGGCAGCAAGTCCTGGGCGGGGGCTGCAGCCACTGCCCCTCCCAGAACCAGTGTTCGCTTGTCACACGGTTTGGGAAAGTGAAGCCGAGGGAGAAGCAGGATTGTCAGAGGCAGGAGATAAGTTATTAGAAACACAAACGCTCATCTTCTTTCCTTCAGATCTTAGTTCCTGTAGAGGACACAGGCAGTCTTCACAGGTGGCAGCAGGCAGCAGGAATGTTCTGTCCTCGCTTCCGGATCGTTTTGCAAGGGAGCAGATAGAAGTCACAGTAACATCTATTCTCTCTGAACTCTGAGTTGAGTCGGTTCCTAGACAGCTATGGGCTGAAACCACATGTGAGGCGTGCTGAGCCGCACGTGACCCTCCAGCCTTCAAGGTCATCGTGGGCAGGGGTCACATGAGGTCACGGACTCTGCCTCCAAAGGCATCTTAGTATTATCCGTGAATCGATTTCCAATAGAGTTTTTTCCTTTTTTTTAAACTTGATTTCAAACGTACATTATGTATTCAAGACTGTTACGGCCAACATTATGTCTTAGTTTTACGTTAACATGAGAAAGTCGTGTGCACTGTAGGACCGCTGGTCCCTGTCCGCCCTCCACAGCTGCCCAGATGCAGGGGGTCGCACGCTGTGGTGAGGAGTGAGCCTCCCTGCTGCCCCCAGCGGCTCCTCCGGGCTCCGGGTTGTCTCAGGATTCTCTACAATCCAAATGTGTTCATTCTGGCTGAAGCCCAGCCAGAATCCCCTGAGTGGAAAAAACAGGGAAAATTCATGTTTTCCTTCTGTTTAAACTTTAATTCCAAAGGTTGGTGTATTCAAAGACCAGTTTCCTATAAAAATAATGAAGGAGTTTGGCTCTTTACAGTGGAAAAGTGTAGGTATTTCTGAAACACAGAGAAAATGCTATTTCCTGCCAGAGCTACTGAAAGCAGAGGTTAGTTCACTCATAGAAGCATGAATTGCCCCTGAAACTGAATGTGCGGCTGACAGCCAGGTCTGCCTGTGTGGGGACACATGCTGTCATGTTGTGTACCAGTTTTCCTGGTACACAAGTTCCTCCCCAGGCAGTTTCCGGGGGCAGGGGCCAGGGCAGGGTGGCAGCCAGCCCTCCTGCTGCCACCATGGAAACACTGAGAGGTGTGGGGAGAGGTTTGTTCTTAACTTTCCTGGTACTCTTTTGAACGCCGATCGCAGTGAGAGGATACACCTGCCTTAACGTGTCTGTCTTTGCCAGTTGTCCCAGGTCCTGTACTCATGGGGGTCCATCTTGAAGAAACACTGACATGGCTCAGTGACTGACAGCGAGCAGTCCCGGTGTTACCAGCAAAGCAAAGGATGGTTGTGTTTTTCAGAATGCAGCCTTCTCAGCATTTCACCGCACTCCAAACAGCAGACTCTTGAAGATGGGGCTGGAATTTGTTTTGTGCAATATATGCCTTCATGAACTAAGGGAAGTTCCTCCCCAGGCAGCAGGCAGAAGGCTCTGCAGGGCTCACCTCACCCGCCATCACTTGTGCCCAGCTCTCACCTCTCGGTTGAATTAATAGTGGGAGATCATTTGACTTTTAATTTATGAGAATGATTTTATGTTAATATTTATGTATATAATTAACTGTTTTATACATAGTAGTTTCATCAAATGAATTGGGCTCGGGTGATATTGTCTCCATTCTCCAGATACAAGTGGTCCAGGCATCCATGGAATCAGCAGGAGACCAGGGCTCCTAAGATATATTTTTTAAAATCAATATCGAGTTTTTTTTGCCTTTGCCCAATCTAAAGGGCAGATGACCTCGCACAGACTCCCAACAGGCCTTGGGCTCACGACGAACCATCCACTAGCATTGATCTTTGATTCCTCTTCCCTATAAAATAAAGGCCTTGGAAATCAGTTTTATTTTTTTAAAGAAGTTGTTTTAGTGCCTAGAGTAAGACCGCATCAAATGTTTTTACAGAACCTAATTTAGATTGCGTGGTGTATACCACTGTTTCTCTCAGACACCTCATACTTCTTGTTATAAGTGAGAATTCTAAAGAAAAATCAAACTCCCAAGTTTTCTGTAAACGTACGTGGTCTTAATAGGGTCCCTGTCCGAGGCAAAGTGGGTTGTCTTAAAGCAACTGTTACAGATTTGCATAAAAGAACCCAGATAGCAAAATACAACAGCCAAGTACCACCCAGCCAGAAGAGTCCTCAGCCGGACGCGGTTCTGCATAGTGATCATCTTTTTCTGACTGATCCAAGGTGCACAGATGTATCCATAAAGGAAGACGTTAGATTCAGCCGCTGCGGCCACCAGGCTCTGTGGGCCCATCTCAGTGGAGGGTTTGTTTGGGACCTGTGGCTCTGTGCAGCTGTGCGCAGTGCCTTCCACTGGTGGGGCTCTTGGAGACAGGCCACAGGTACAGCCGCTCCCCGTGAATCCCGGTCTCCGGGTTGAGAAGGGGCCCGGGCCTCCGGAATGCTCTAGTGTGTGATGTGTTCTCAGGAAAACGTTCTGTGCCAAGTGCCGCCTCACTGTGTCCAGCGTGGAATGGTGCTGGAGGGCCCGGCGCAGAAGGCAGACCTCCCATTCCTCTACCGTTCCTGTCTGCAGCATCCAAAGGCGGAAGGCTCATGACTTCCCTGTTAGAGGCGGCGTCTCGGACTTTCCCGTTGGATTTTGAGGCATTAAGTTGGTGTGGAGATGTTGGGTGTATTTTGTGTCCCATCAGTTTGTATGATGATGAATAAAAGGTGCTGTGACCCTTGTTTTTCAGTTGCTGGCCTTCTGCTCCCACTGCCTGGTAGGGAAGGTGGCAGTTTGTATACTTTGAGAATGCTCGCAATTCCTGCTGTCAGCCACATCTCGATTCCTCTCAGGTCCAGCACCCATAAAATGTTTGGGCTGTTTGAAATGTTCCCTGAGATATTGAGCTGCAAAGAGGGTGCATGTAGCATTTTTTCTAAAGCTTAGATCAAGAGAAAACAGGCACAAAAAGGATCCATAGCTAGAGAGAGGCGAGTCCTTGCAGGCGTTTCTTTGGGCAGGTGGTCTGAAATGATCCCTTACTGACCTGTTGATTAAGTGTTAAATGATGTATTCTAATTTGCTAGGTCTTTTTTTTTTTTTTTTTTTTTTTTTTTTGAGACGATGACTTGCTCTGTCACCCAGGCTGGAGTGCAGTGGTGAGATCTTGGCTCACTGCAGCCCCTGCCTCCCAGGTTCACGTGATTCTTCTGCCTCGGCCTCCCAAGTAGCTGAGATTACAGGTGTCCACCACCGCACCAGGCTAATTTTTGTAGTTTTAGTAGAGACTGGGTTTCACCACGTTGGCCAGGCTGGTCTCAAACTCCTGGCCTCAAATGTTCCACCCACCTGAGCCTCCCAAAGTGCTGGGATACAGGCGTGAGCCACGGTGCGTGGCCTGCTAGGTCATTTTTAAGTTTGGAAATACCTTACATATCCAGTCTTCTGAGGACCTGACCTGTGAGGACCAAGCCTTGGATATTTTCACCATATTTTAAATAGCATCTGGTAGCAACGAATTCCGCCAGGAAGTAGGATTCATTCATTTCACATTTTGCCAGTTGTGAGCACATCCTTGGGTGTGCGAGACCTGTGTGGTTCTCGTACACAAAGGCAGCCTTTCAGCCTTTCTGCCTCTCCGTGCAGAGGAACGGTGACGTCGACGTCCACAATTCATCAGTGCCCCCATGTTTCTTCCTGGGGTGCAAATTACCGCCTAGTGATTTGCTCTGCTAAGAGCCATGTAATGCAGCGGAAAACTCACAAGGACACAGTCTGAATACAGCCTTTTCACAAGCATTAGGCACAAGCTCCCATAGAGGGCGAGAGAGCCCGGCCACTGGCTTCTTCCCCATCAGGTTGTACAACTGGTGAGAGTATCCTCACAGGGGTCCTCGTTCTGGCGTGACTGGGATGAGTGACCTTGCCTGTGTGGCAGTGTAATCATCAGAATTATCTGGAAGTGGCCCTGGGTTGCCTGGAAAGAGCTGGTCGGGGCCTCCCCTCCCACCCAAGCCTTGCTTCCAGTGGAGCTGAGAGCTTCCCCTCCCTTAGCTGGAGGGTTCCCAGATGGAGGCAGCTGCTCCCAACTCAAGAGGGAGGCCCAGTCCCCCAGCCCAGCCAACCACAGGGGCCAGGACACACATCCTACCATGTGTGTGGAGTGGACATCGCTGCTGAAGAGCACTAAAGACCACCCCAGACTCTACGAGGTGGGTCATCTTGTCCTCCTCACGTTGAGAAAAGTAGTGAAGTCAGGTAGCTTGCTGCAGGCCACGCTGTGGGTAACTTGTAAAGTTAGAGTCCTATCCCCATACCTGCTGATCCCAAACCTGCAGTCTTGTTCCTCTTGTGACTTGGCCTGGAAGTCCTCAAAAAAAAAAGTCATTGTAGTTGAACCATATGAAACCGTGGCTTCTGTAGGTCAAAAACTGCCAAACATTAGTTACTGCATGTGGTTCACCCTGCTGTGATCGGGCCACATGACTTTATTTATTTTTGCCAGTTTAGTTTTCTAAATGTTTGAGTTCTCTGAGTCCAGTATTTAAGTGCTGTTGAATTTTGTAAAGAAGCTTTCTTGTTAGTGATAAGTCATGAACAGTCTGCTCTGAGCAAAAGTCCCTAGGGTCAGATAGAAAAGGTGAACATACGGCCGGGTGCGGTGGCTCACGCCTGTAATCCCAGCACTTTGGGAGGCCGAGGCGGGTGGATCACGAGGTCAAGAGATCAAGACCATCCTGGTCAACATGGTGAAACACCGTCTCTACTAAAGACACAAAAAATTAGCTGGGCACGGTGGCGCGTACCTGTAATCCCAGCTACTCGGGAGGCTGAGGCAGGAGAATTGCCTGAACCCAGGAGGCGGAGGTTGCGGTGAGCCGAGATCGCGCCATTGCACTCCAGCCTGGGTAACGAGAGTGAAACTCTGTCTCAAAAAAAAAAAAAAAGAAAAGAAAAGGTGAACATACTTATAATGTTTATATGTAAGTACACAGTTCTGAATATTTTAATTTTTTATTTTAGGTTTTCTTGGACTGGAATCAAGAAATGGGAAGTTGGCCCTGTGTTTCAGAGCTATTAGACATGGCAGGCAAAGTGATTAAATGTTTTTTTTGAAATTGTGGACTCATAGCAAATTGCCCAGTACGAGGGAGATCCCATGAACTCTTCTCCCAGGTTCCTCTAACCAGAGCAGCTCACATACCCTCAGAACGATCACAAGGCCGGGAAATTGACACTGGTCACTACTGTGAACTGCTCTACAGACTTGATTCAGATTTCCACAGTTTTCACACACACTCATTTGTGTGCCTAGTTTTATGTAGTTTTTTTTTTTTTTTTTAAGCTAGAATTTTTTTTAACTTTATGTTTTGAGACAGTCTCACTCTGTCTTCCAGGCTAGAGTGCAATGATGCAATCTTGACTCACTTCAATCTCCACTTCCCGGGCTCAGATGATCCTACTGCCTCAGTGTCCCAAGTAGCTGGGACTACAGGCACACGCCACCACACCTGCCTGATTTTTGTATTTTCTAAAGATGGACAGGGTTTCGCCTCCCTAGCCTCCCCCATTTCTCCCCCATTCCCTAGCCTCCCCATCCCTCGCCATCCCCTAGCCTCCCCCATCCCTCCCCATCCCCTAGCCTCCCCCATCCCTCCCCATCCCCTAGCCTCCCCCATCCCTCCCCATCCCCTAGCCTCCCCCATCCCTCCCCCATTCCCTAGCCTCAGGCAATCACCATCTGCTCTTTACCTCTATACTTTTATCATTTCAAAAATGTTATATAAAATGAAATCATACATTCTGTAACTTAAAAGTATATGGTGTATTTGTCTATCAAAGTATTATTCTTTACACGTTAACCATGATTTTTTTTTCTTTTTTTGAGACAGAGTCTCACCCTGTTGTCAAGGCTGGAGTGCAATGACACAGTCTTGGCTCACTGCAGCCTCCACCTCCCAGGTTCAAGCGATTCTCCTGCCTCAGCCTCCCAAGTAGCTGGGATTACAAGCGTGTGCCACCACATCCAGCTGATTTTTGTATTTTTAGTAGAGATGGGGTCTCACCATGTTGGCCGGCCAGGTCTCAAACTCCTGACCTCAGGTGATCCACCCACTTCGGCCTCCCAAAACCATGATTTTTTTAATGGAAACTTTTATTGAGATAGTAGATCACATAAAATCAACTTTTACTGAGATGGTAGATTTACATGCAGTTATCAAAAATCATCCCGAGGGATGTCTTATACTTCGTCCAGTTTCCCCCCGCGGTAACAGTGTGAAAAACGATTGTACCATATCACAGTTAGAATTGGCTTGGATACAGTCCCGCGGTCTTATTCAGATTTCGTTCATACTCTCTCTCTCTCTGTGTATGGGATTCTGTACAGGGCTGGGATATCATTGTGTTTGTCTGTATATCTGCCCCGCATCCAGACACCAAATATGTCACTTTTGAAACTGTTTTTACCACGCGGCACAACACCCTGGAGATGCATCCGAGTTGTTGCGTGTGTGAGTAGTTCCTTCTTTTCCACTGCTGAGACTGTGATGTGGATACACTATGGTTTCGTTAGCATTTACCCACCGAAGGACAGTTTCACTTTTGTCCAGTTTGCAGCTATTCTGAACCAAAGTGTCTATGAATATTTTTGTATGAGAATTTTTGTGTACATAAATTTTCATTTCTCTGGAATAAATGCCCAGGAGTAAGATTACTGGGCTGAAGATCAGTGTAAAGGTTCTGGGGAATAGTAACTGTGGAACTGCCTTATAACCAATGTTAAATCATTTCAAATGTGGTTTGTATTTTCCATATAACGAGCGTTGTGTGGTGCAGAGGCTGTAAAAATTATGCTGTATTCTAAGAGAAAAATTTAACAATTAAGATCATAGTTACGGGAGATAAGAAAAAAAATTGCTCCTAGGAAATGGGGAGGGATGGGGAGGCTAGGAGATGGGGAGGGATAGGGGAGGCTAGGGAATGGAGGGATGGGGAGGCTAGGAAATGGGGAGGGATGGGGAGGCTAGGAGATGGGGAGGGATAGGGGAGGCTAGGGAATGGAGGGATGGGGAGGCTAGGAAATGGGGAGGCTAGGAGATGGGGAGGGATAGGGGAGGCTAGGGAATGGAGGGATGGGGAGGCTAGGAAATGGGGAGGGATGGGGAGGCTAGGGAATGGAGGGATGGGGAGGCTAGGGGATGGGGAGGGATGGGGAGGCTAGGGAATGGGGAGGGATAGGGGAGGCTAGGAGATGGGGAGGGATAGGGGAGGCTAGGGAATGGGGAGGGATGGGGAGGCTAGGGAATGGGGAGGGATGGGGGAGAGATAGGGGAGGCTAGGAGATGGGGAGGGATAGGGGAGGCTAGGAGATGGGGAGGGATAGGGGAGGCTAGGGAATGGGGAGGGATGGGGAGGCTAGGGAATGGGGAGAGATGGGGAGGCTAGGGAATGGGGAGGGATAGGGGAGGCTAGGGAATGGGGAGGGATGGGGAGGCTAGGGAATGGGGAGGGATGGGGAGGCTAGGGAATGGGGAGGGATGGGGAGGGATAGGGGAGGCTAGGAGATGGGGAGGGATGGGGAGGCTAGGGAATGGGGAGGCTAGGGAATGGGGAGAGATGGGGAGGGATGGGGAGGCTAGGGAATGGGGAGGGATGGGGAGGCTAGGGGATGGGGAGGCTAGGGAATGGGGAAGGATGGGGAGGGATGGGGAGGCTAGGGAATGGGGAGGGATGGGGAGGCTAGGGAA